ACGTGGGGACACACCGTTCTCACCAGTGCTAGGGTTTTCATAGGAGGCGGGCAATACCCCCACTTTGTGGGGGGGCCGGTTCAAGCTCTACCAAATTTCCAAACGACTCTTCGCCACCACCCACACCCAGCTTCCCGCCCTATGACGTTCGGACACTTCACTTCGTGGCATGCGGACGACCGTGGCTACTATTCAGGGCCCCGCGGCCGACGACGACGGCGTGCGCGCGCGAAGAAAAAACGAATGTGTCCCGCATGGTATTATTTGACAGGGATGATGGCCCTGGCAGGTGCGCAACCGTTGTTGCAGAAGTTCGAAAAAGTTGCTCGCAAAAGCCCGTTTGACAGAAATGTTTAAAAAGTGTTGGGTTTCCTACGAATCCGCAAGAGCGCGCGGGATGAGATTTTGACATTTTTTTGTTGAAAAACCATTGGTTTTTTGATGTTTTTATGTTAAAATCGCTGCGAACACTAAGGTTTTGGAAGGATTTCGTCTTGCGCGCGCGAATGTCCACTTTACCTTATTTTTTGCAAGGGATTCTTGAAATTTGATTATATTAGAACACGAAATGTCATTTTATAGTGTTTTTTGCAAGGGAAAGCGGGGGGGAACAAAACAACCGGATCTTGATCACATCGAATTACCTGAGGCTTCCTCACGAAAATGATGAAAATGTAGCTGCGGCCTAGGCGGCGCAAGGGGGTTCAACAACAATAACAATAACAACAACAACAAAATCAACAAAAACAACAACAACAAACACAACAACAAAAATGTCATTTTACCCGAACGCTCAGTGTTCTCACCAGTGCCAGGGTTTTCATCGCGACGCGAAAAACAATACCCCCACTTCGTGGGGGGGCAGTTCAAGGTCTACCAAATATCCAAACGACTCTTCGCGACCACCAAAACCCCAGCTTCACGCCCTCATCCCACCTCCATATCCGTTATGACGTTGGGGGGACACTTCACTTCGTGGCGTGCGGACGACCGTGGCTACTACACTGGCGTGGGGTACACACCCACAGAACTTGGTCACTTATTCGGGGCGCGCGTGTGCCCCGCATCCTGCAATTGTGACATACAATACATGACACAGACAGACAGAGAGAGAGACAGAGAGCAGACAGAGAGAGAGACAGAGAGAGCGGAGTTGGTCACATTTTTTGGGCAAGTTCCTGAGATCGTCGTGTTTTTTGTTGGTCTTGCGCGCGCGAATGTCCACTTTACTTTTTTTTTGCAAGGGAGTATTGAAATTTGATTATGTTAGAACAAGAAAAAGTAGCTCGCGCGAGCTCAGTAACATAAATGTTGAAAAACCATTGGTTTTGTGGGAGTCGGACAGCGCGCGCGGGATGAAATTTGGACATTTTTTTTTTGAAAAACCATTGGGTTTTTGATGTTTTTATGTTGAAATCGCTACGAAACCTAAGGTTCTGGAAGGATTTCGTCTTGCGCGCGCGAATGTCCACTTTACCTTATTTTTGCAAGGGAGTATTGAAATTTGATTATGTTAGAACAAGAAAAAGTAGCTCGCGCGAGCTCATGTAACATAAATGTTGAAAAACCATTGGTTTTTTGGGATTCGGACAGCGCGCGCGGAAGGACATTTTGACAATTTTTTCTTAAAAAACCATTGGGTTTTTGATGTTTTTATGTTAAAATCGCTACGAAACCTAAGGTTTTGGAAGGATTTCGTCTTGCGCGCACGAATGTCCACTTTACCTTATTTGTTGCAAGAGATTCTTGCAATTTGATCAAGTAAGAACAAGAATTTTCATTTTATAGTGTTTTTTGCAAGGGAAAACGGAGTACAACAAAACAACCGGATCCGGTAATAATTCATTTTTCTGAAGCTTTCGCTAAAAAATGATGAAAATGTAGCTGCGGCCTAGGTTTTGGAGGGGGGTCGTGTACCAGGGGTCCCAACAATAATTATTCTTTAGAAGTAATAATGTTCAACATCGCAGCGTGCTTCGTATAGGAGCCCTTGCCAAAGCTACGCGGGGATCCCAGAGTCTAGGCATTCCGCCGACCACTCTCCATAAGCTGAGGGTCCAAGCCGCGAGGTCCTGGGGCCCCCCCTCCTCTTTGAGACCTCCTGGGGCCTCAGGCTCCTCGCCTCCTCTCGCACCTGGCCAATGGGGCCCGCTTTTGGCGACGGTGGCCTCGACTGTGAAAGAAGCCGTCCGTGCCTGGTGGGCCCGGTCGAGTGCAAGGCCTGCCCCAGAGTCCTGCGTCCAGGACGCTCTGGAGGCCCAGGGGTACAGGGCCCCCACGGGGCCAGGTCCGCCAGCCACTTGCGGCGCTTGTGTTCTGCAGCGTTCGCGGGCCCGCTGGACGCTCGGGTCTTCGAAGGTGGCCTTGGCCGACGACCTGCCAGGGGAGTGGTCGAGAGATCGGGTCTCCCCTAACTTTGTCACGCTACTGTTGCGCAGCTCCGTCGTAGGGGCCATCGAGCGTGAGGAGCACTTGAAGCAGCTTGATCTTCGAGAGCGGAGTGGGTCCATCTTCTGGCAGTCCATCCACCAGCTGCTCGGGCGTCAAGGTTCGGAGGCCTGGACCAGATCTCACAGAGCTGCGTGGTCTGCTCTCGCTGCCAACGTGGATCAGTGCCAGCACAGAGTGGGCGAGCACAGCCCAGAAGCCGCCAGCGAGTGCCAGTTGTGCAGAGATGGCAGGGGGACCCTCTACCATCGTAGGTTCCAATGCGTTGTTTTCTCCTCATGGCGCCGCGAGAACCTGGATCCTGCGGTTGCCAAGGCTGCTTGGGCGATTGGCACTCTTTCGGGTTCAACGGGCGAAATGTGTTGCAAGTGCTTGTTCCCCACCAACCCCGCGTCCTGGGCTAAGCGTCCACCCCGTAAACCGTTCGACCCGTGCAAACGTCACTTCCAGTGGCCTCAGGACAGGCCGCTGTTCATCCCTGAGGGCGCACATGTTTTCACGGACGGCTCGGGTTTTGACTCGGGACCGTGGGGTGGGCAATGATGTTGCTAGGAAGGCAGGGCAGAGCCCTTGCTGCCCCTTGTGGGGTCGTGCCGCCAGGAGAGGCGCCTGGCCAGCAGGCGCGCGACGGTGAAGACCTCGCTGTCCTGATGCTGTCTCGTCGGGCCGTCCTCTCGCCGACTGTCTCGCTCTACGTGGACTGCTCTGCCATCGTCGGTTGACTCAGAAACCTCACGGGGGCCTCTGGCGAGTCGTCGGCACGAGCTCACTGGTGGGCCGAGCTAGGGGATCGCATAGACGGGGTTGCCGCGCATAAGATTCCGTCACATAGCTCTATGGTGGGCGTCGGAGAAGGACGCATCACTGAAATGCAGATTCTTGGAAGCTCGGAAACGGACCGCCTTGCCAAGGAAGGAGCTGAGCCATTCCGACTGTCTAACAAATGACGGTTGGCTCGCCAGCGGATGTGCCGAAATTGTTCGACGCGCCAGTGTTTCCTCTGTGCCGGCCAGCAGGCGGAGCGTCGAGAGTTGGCGCTGTGTGTGGTCACCACGGGTTGGAGCGGCCAGGCTGCGTCCTCCTGGATGCCGTCCCTGGGCTCCCCCTCCCCACCCCGCGTCCTGAGGGAGGTGTGCCAGATCAAGCAGCCTCGAACGTATCCCTATCCCTAAGATGGGCGAGCAAACAGCGAGGGCAACCTCAGGGATGCGCCCTCGTAAACTGAGGGAAGCCTTCAGTTCAGCATCGAGGTGAGGTGATGCCAAACACGGGGATCGGGATATGCTTCAAACTGGTAACAGATGCGCCCGAGACTGCGCCAGGTGCTGGGGGGGGGCCTGCTGAGGCCCCTGCTGGGGCCTGGGGCGAGCCGCCTCCTGAGGATCCCACAGCCCCAGGAGCGTGGCTCCAGTTGGGACACTCGTTGGAGCAAATGGGTGGTATATGCGCCCGATGGCTGCGCGCATCACGATACGATGCTGTGTTGTACGTCCTGCGGGGCCATGGCCCACAACAGCACGAAACGGGGGAAGTTGCGGCGGCGGTGTCGGCCGGAGGCCTCTGGGGGCCGTGCTGTCTACCTTGACAGGTTTCGTGCTGGACGGTATCCAGCCCATTGGGATCCGCTTGGTCTCGCGATGGCGTACCGCGGGTCCCCCTCCCCGAAGGTCAGGGAAGAGTGGGCCCCTGTTTCCTCCGCCTGGTCCTGGACGGTTTCCCCCTGGGCCGTAGGCGACCCGAGGAGCAGGAGGAGGAGGACCAGGAGGAGGAGGAGGAGGAGGAAGAGGAGGAGGAGGAGGAGGTGGAGGAGGGGGAGGGGGAGGGGGAAACGGAGGAGGAGGAGGAGAAGGAGGAGGAGGACGGGTCGCCTAAGCCCTTCGGAGAAACCCTCCAGTCCCAGGGCCTCCAGACCCCCGAGAAGCCGGGAGACCGCCAGGTCCAGCCGCGTTGGCGAGAGGCTCCCGCCGCGGACCTCTGACCAGGGGCCTGGCGCTCACGGGCCTCGCCCGCGAGGACGCGGAGGCCCTGGGACGGGGGCGGAGGCGCGGCGGGAGCGGGGAGAGGAGCCTGAGGAGGAGAACCTCCTCTGCGGCCCCACCTAGCTCGTTCGTGGTTGTTCATTGTTCTTTTCGTGCACGTCGAATGCGGTCGTGCCCTCCACGGTCGTGGGCGTCCTGTCCTCCTCCTCCTCCTCCCCCCACTTCCCTCCTCCTCCTCCTCCTCCTCCTCCTCCTCCTTCTCCTCCTCCTCCTCCTCCTCCTCCTCCTCCTCCTCCTCCTCCTCCTCATGCTCATCCTCATCCTCATCCGCCTCCTCCTCCTCTCCCTCCTCCTGTTCCTCCCTCATGCGCTTGCGTTTCCGTGCCGTCAGACCGAGCACAGGGGGCAGAGTAAGCCATGCACACTGCCTGTCCACACAGGCTCGGAGGCAAACAACTTGACCGTATCTCCTGAGATGTATCCCGAAATGCTGAGCTCAATCTAGCCTTGTACCGCTGCGTGATGGCGGAGATCCTGGAAGTCCTCCTCTCTCTTCTGGGGTGGGGGGGTGTCCTTGCCCTTGTTGTTGGCGGGAATGGAGATGTCCACGTTCTCCAGGCGGGAGTCGGTGTCGCAGAGGGCGAGGACTGGGATGCTCGCGTAGGCGGCCTGTACAGAGAGACTCACTCGTCCTCCCTCTCCTCTTCCTCCTCCTCCTCCTCCTGCACCACCTCACCAATCGTCCATCCTCCCCTCCTCGTCGCCGCTCCCTCCTCCTCGCCCGAATCCGCCTCCTCCCCCATTCATCCACATGTGTGTCCCCCTTTCCTGCGACCGCTACAAATACTACTGCTGCTACTGCAGCCACTACCGACTACAACACGGACGCACATTGAACGACGACGATCGTGTAACTAGACATGTACACTAGCCCTGCTCCTCATCACCCATATACCTCATACCCATCACCCGCTTCACGAGAACCACCATCAGAATCGCCGTTGACATCATCAACAACATCATAACCAGCAGCAGCGGCATTGTCACCATCATGACCATCTCAATCATTATCATCATCAGCATCAGCAACCTGCCCCGCCATATCTCCCTGCACCCATCTTAACATATCCTCTTCCATCCATACCTCCCGCGAGAACCGCTGTGCCGTGTTGTCGGTCGGACTTAGGAACAGTAGCTTAGATCAGAAGCCAACGGCCCCGATGCAGCGAGATGATTTAAGTCCAGAGGTCGAACGAAGCCACTCTCAACTCACGCTGCTTGTCTGCATCCCACTGGTGCCGTCGCGCGAGCGAAGGCAGTCTGGTGCAAGCTGCGATCGTTGACGTCGGCGGGCGGCGTCAGTTTCGTTCCATCGCTGCTGCTGTCCACGACTCGTTAGGCCAGGGACGGTGCAATTGACTTGACCTCGCGCTCGAGCCCCAAGGTTACGCTCGAATGAGCACCCTGCCCTGCTGCGACCCGATTCGAGGTCAGGGGTAGAGAAAGAGGGAGAGATCTATATATGTTTATAAATTAGTATGACTATGCATCTCTTTATACGTATATACGTATATACAAAAAATAAGCCGACCCTTCGGCGTGTGTGGGACGCTGGCGTCGCCGTCGTCGTCGTCAGTCCCGAAGACAATAGGGAACAAGGAAAAGAAACGCCACAGTAAAGTCGATTCCCTTTCCTTTATGCCTTCACTGCGGGTGGGGGAGTGCGGGAAAGGAGGGGGGGGTCCCCGGTCAGAATACTACCCCCCCCCCCGGGATCCCAGCGGGCCCCAGGGGGATCGCCAGCAGGGGTCCTGGGGAGAAGGTTCCGCCAGCGGCATCGGCCGCAGGGCCTTCGCAATTCACACACGTGTAACGAGAGAGAGAGAGAGAGAAGGCTAGAGATACAAGGGCAGCCAGGGCTCGATAATAGCCCCGGTTGGTGCCGAGGAGAGGTGTATGCTGGATGGTGGAGGGAGGGGGATGAGGCGGAGGAGAAGGGTAAAAAGCGGAGGAGAAAAAAAGGGGAATGAGGAGGGAGGGGGTGTGAGAAGAGCAAAGGGGGAGAGGAGGGAGGAGAGGAGGAAGAGAGAAGGGGGAGGAGGACGGAGAAGCGAGGGGGAGGATGAGGAGAGAAGGGTGATGAGCAGGAGGAGGAATGAGCAGAAGAGAGGGGACAGGAAAAGGAGAAGGCAGAGAGGATGAAGAGAAAAGGGAATCTACAGGAGGGCGGCAAGGAAGTGGACAGATGGCAAAGGAGGTGGAAGAGGTAGCGGCAGGAAGGGGCAAGAGGTGGAGACAGGATGGAGAGATAGGGGCACGGCGAGGATGGAGCGATTTGCCAGATGACTATCCAGTCCTAACAAGTGGGTTCGTTCCTTCCCCTGGTCGCGTAATCAGCTCTGGCTGTTCTTCATACCTCACCCCCGCGAGGTTTATGGGAGGCCCCTGGTCGTGGACGGTCGCCGTAGCCTACCAGTACCCGCGTTCCGTTGAGCAGATATGAGAAATGCGAGAGGACGCACGCGCGCGCCCGTCTCCCAGCCGAGCGCGGACTGCGCTCTCGATCGTGAGGTGTCGCTGCGGAGACGCGCAGCAAGTCCGAAAACTCACTGTAGCCACCAATGGTCAAACGGACCCCTGGCCAAAGTGGCCGGTCTTAGCGGCAGGGGGAGCAGAAGGAACGACTGATGGAGAGAGGAGTGTGGCAAGGAGGCAGAAGGCAGAAGGGGGAAGGAGGAGGAGGAGGAGGAACAGGAAAATAATAGCAATACGAATGAGAGGCAGAAGCTCTATCCTCCCCCTCCTCCCCCCCCTCCTTCTTCCTCATCGAGCTTCCCTCCTCCTCCTCCTCCTCCTGCCCCCTCCATCCACCTCCTCCTCGAATAAGAGCGGGCCGAAGAGCTGGGGGCGTGGGTGTACATGAAGAATGCTCCATCACCGAAGAGTGGTGGCAGTCTGGAGGCAAGCGCACCAGAAGTCGGAAGCAGCCAGATGCGCTGGTCGAGCAAGCGCTGTATCCTCTCCCTCCTTGTTGTCCTCCCTGACCTCCCCCTCCTCCTCCTCCCTCTTCCTCCTCCTCCTCCTCCTCCCTCCCCTCCCTCCCTCCCTCCATCCATCCATCCATCCATCCATTCATCCATCCTCCTCTCACAACCCTCCTCCTACTCCTCATGCACTCTCCGCGCAGGGACGAGGGGAGAGGAGGACGGAGGGAGGACGGTTAGAGCCTTTGGCAATACAGCGCGCAGGACAGCAGCCTGCGCGCTGTATTGCCAAAGGCTCTAACCCAGTCGCCAGGGGGGGAGTGGTACTCCTGCTGCTTCGACCGCCACCCTCCGCGGAGGAGGAGGAGGAGGAGGAGGAGGAGGAGGAGGAGGAGGAGGAGGAGGGAGAAGGAGGGAGAAGGAGGGAGTGCGAGGCCCAAAAACACATGCCGGCACCACCTCCCTCACCCCCTCCCCTCCCCCTCGGAGAAAGAGGCGAGGAAGACGAGGGGAGAGGAGGGAGGGGAAAGGGAGGGGAGGGGGGGGGGCGGTGGAACATACCCCTGGGGCCCCGCTGGGAGGGAGCCAGCCCACCCAAGAGCTGCCCAGCCCGCCCGAGGAGTGCCCGCCAGAAATAATAAATACACAAAAAAAAAAAAATACGAGAAAAAAAAAAAAGAAAAAACAAAAAAAAAAAAATAACAAAAGAAAAAATAAAAAAAAAAAAATAAAGAAAAGAAAAAGAAAGGGCACACGCAAGACGCCCCAGGGTCAGGCCACGCCCCCTTCACGCCTGCAGTCCGTGCGCGGGTCGTCACGATCAGCAGCCCGCGGCTCGAGGTACTCTTGGCAGGAGGGGGAGGAGGCCTCCTCCTAGCCCTCCCGCTCCTGCCTCATCCTCCTCGCTCCGGCTCCTCCACTCCTCCTCCTCCTGCTCCTCGCCTCCTCCTCCACCCCCTGCGTCGTGTCCAACTGACCCTCCCCTCCTCCTCCTCCTCCTCCTCCTACCTCCTCCTCCTCCATCCTCCTCCTCCTCATCCTCCTCCTCCTCCTCTCCTCTCTCCTCCTGCTCCTGCTCCTCCTGCCACCTGACTCCTCCTCCTCCTCCTCCTGCTGCTGCTCCTCCTCCTCCTCCTCCTCCTCCTCCTCCTCCTTCTCATGCTCCTCCTCCTCCTCCGCCTCCTCCTCCTCCTCATCATCATCATCATCCTCTTTACGCGAAGCCGACGCGAGGAAGTTTCAGGTGGCTCCCCTGAAACCTCCCCCATCTTCCCATGTCCCTCCCCTATTGTGAGGGTACTGACGTCTGCGGTGTTCCTCCTCCTTTTCCTCCTCCTCCTCCTTCTCCTCCTCCTCCTCCTCCTCTTCCTCCTCCTCCCTCTTCTTCTCCGCCCCGTTCCACCCTTCCCCACGCGAGCAGAGCTGTATGCTCATGCTGGTGGCTTGCGATGGGAGGCGGGGCGAGGAAGTGGGGGGGGGCCGTCCCAGGTGGGCAGCTCGGGTGGGTGCAGGGCCAAAACGGGGGAGGGAGGAAAGGACCATCACAGGATATGAAACGGAAAGGCTACAGGTTGGGAGGGAGGGAGGGGATGAGGGAAAAAATGATAAGGCGGAGATGGGCGGAGGAAAAGAAGGAAGACGGAGAGAGGAGAAGGGAGGCAAGAGGGACCAGGGATGAGTAGCAGAGAGTAGGGACCTGAGAGCAGGGAGCAGCAAGCGGGAAGGAGGAGAGAAGGAGGAGAAAGAGGAGGGAAGCTCCTTCTGGGTGATCTGGTTGGTCAGAGTGCCCGGCATCCAGCGGCCCGCCAGCGGCATGGCGCCCTGAGCGACCAATGTGGAGGACATATCAAACTTCCTCCTCCGGCTCCTCCTACTCCTACACCTCCTCCTCCTCCTCCTCCTCCTCCTCCTCCTCCTCCTCCTCCTCCTCCTCCTCCTCCTCCTCCTCCTCCTCCTGGTAGGAAGGAGACGGGAGGGCTGGAGGGGAGGGGGCAGAGGAGTAAAAGATTGACCTCATCCTCCTCCTCCTCGATCCTCGCTCCTCGCTCCTCGCTCCTCGCTGCTCCTCGCTCCTCGCTCCTCGCTGCTCCTCGCTCCTCGCTCCTCGCTCCTCGCTCCTCGCTCCTCGCTCCTCGCTCCTCCTCCTCCTCCTCCTCCTCCTCCTCCTCCTCCTCCTCCTAAGCTCGTGCCGGAGAAAGAGAAAAGAGAGAGAGAGAGAGATCACTCAAGGATCAGCGCGCCGAGATCATGACACAGCATATGCACTTTCCTTCTACCCCTCCCCGTGTTCCTCCTCCCCTTCCCCCTCCCCTTTCCGCTCTCCAGGGAGGGGCGAGGAAAAGGGAGAAGCATGCGGAGGAGGGAGGAAGGGTGCAAGAGGAAGTAGAGATAGATGGGAGGACGGAGGACGGAGAGAAGAAGAGAAAATAAGATAATATAGTATGATAGTACATAAGGAAAGAAACAGAGAATCGCAACGGCACATAGTATTATAAGGGCATCTAAGAGAATAGATGATAAAACAAACACAAAAATATAAATCATACGATAATATCAGAGGCGAGACGCGAAGAGGAGAGAAGAGAAGAGATAAAGATAGAGATTGAGATAGAGATAGAGAAAGAGAGAGAAAGAGAGAGAGAGAGAGAGAGCACGTAACCAAACGACAGAACACATGAGAGGAGAGGTTCGGAGGACTCGGCGTGGCGAGGAGCTCAAGCCGCCCGAAAGGGAAGGAAGGGTATGAGCGGGTTCAGGTTCCATGAAGCTCTTGGGAGGGGGCCCAGTTCCAGGAGGGAAGGCAGAGGCGGGCAGAGGGAGAGGGAGCCAGCCCTTTTGCCCCTCCGGCCGCAGCGGCCAGCAGGGCAACCCGAGGCCCGAGGTTGGCCGCCGCCGCAGCCGGCTCCCTCGCCTGGAGTCCTGCAGAGCTGCCGAGCGCGCGCACCGATCGTTCCCTGAACCTGGCAGATGATACCGGGACGGCTGGCCTCTGGAACGATGGCGATCTTCGCTCTACTCCGAGTTTCTCGATGAGCGTCGGGGGGGCGTCGCCCCCACCGACAGCCCCGCATCGACCCCCGTCGCGGGCAGCCACCGCGCGCTGGAGGCGCTCCCACCCCCGTCGCGGCGCGACGACGAGGCGAGGTTGGCCCCCGTCGCGGGGGGTACCCCCCCACGCTTCCTAAGAAACCCAGAGTCATTATCTGAGGCCCGGGCCCTGGAAGGTTGCACTCTGGGCCTGGAGCAGGATGTCGTCTACGAGCCTGCGCAGCGCAATGGCACCGTCGTCACGGACCCAGCCAGCGGAGCCACCTGCAGAGCACCCGAGTGGCGACGGTGGCAGGGCTGCATCCTGCAGGCACGCCACACGTCGTGCAGCCACCAAGGCATCGCCTGCGACCGACTGCAGTAAAGCAGAGCACTCCGTGCTGATGGGCCACGGTCGCCGCAGCAGCTCTGGCATACAACATATCCTCACCGATACGCTCGTAGGCATGCGAAGGGCCCTCACAGCATGCCGCCGCGGATCGACGTACGCCCTCGCAACGGGTGGTATCCGCCAAGAGGTCCCGCACAAACGCTGCTTCCAGGACACCTTTGCTCGCCCGGTGGGCCGGGCAGGGCCGCCTGTCTTGAAGCTCCCAACGTCGAGCCTCTGGCTGCCGAGCCACAGACCAGAGCCGCCATGCGGAAGTCATATGACGCCCATGCCTCGGTAGCTCGGTTTGTCTGAAATTTCCTGAAACTTGCGTCATTTTGATGGCCATCGCGCACACCCGCGACGGGGTGAGGCCCACCGCCTCGCAAGAAAGCATGACGCGGGCAACGAATTCCAGCTCCTTGCACCAGCAAGGATGAGGTGGAAGCCGTCGCGGGTGGAGGCCGCGTCATGCCCGACTGCTCTTCATTTAAAGAAGTGTGCCCGAAAATTTAGGCCTCTGCGCGCGCACTTCATCATCCTCATCAGCGCCATCGTTATCATCATCGCCCGTGTCATTGTCGCCGCCGTCGTCGTCATCGTCGACGTCGTCATCCTCACCATCATCGCCACCGCCAGTCACGGTCAACGTCGTCACCGATATCGTCGTCACCATGACCCCTCGCTCGCCCGAGCCACGCATCTGCACGAGCAGGTTCCACGCGTCACTGCACCACATGAGATTCGCGACCCAAGGATGGTAAGCATCTGAATGCACGGTCTGCATGAGCACCTCCAAGAACGAACGGGTGGATGCGTGGTGGGTGGGATGCTTGCTCGAGCATGGAAGGTGGTCACGCGCGGCGCAGACAATCCCACCAGCCCTGCGGGCTGAGGTGGTCTAGCGATGGATGTCTTGCATCTTCAAAAAAGTGTTAAAAAAATGCGAATAATAATAAAAGAAAATATTCCGGCCCAGCAGGTCTGCCTCCCCCCCTCCCTGAGGTGTTTTGGGGAGGGCCGCGACGTGTTAGAGTTAAGTCGGGCCTGTCCCCCTACAGGGGGATTTTCGACGAAAAACCAGAAACACTTAAAAAAATGCGCGAAAGATGCCCACAAACAATCGAAACATACTGCCCAGACATTTTTGTCAACTATGTTTGAATATTCCCCCTGTAGAGGGATAGGCCCGACTTAATGTTAAAGGGCCCTTTCTCGCCCATGATGGCTCCAAGAGGGCGCCCGATGCTCCAAGATGGCCTTCAAGATGGCCCAAAATAGCCGACAATGGTCCGACATACCTCCAAGAGACCCGACGGAGGCCACAATACTGTTCCAAGTGCTCTCGGAGCCCCCTCGGGACCCCTCCAAAAAGCCAACATCCTTCAAAAACCTAAAAAAAGTCTTGACTTCTCGCCTTTTCACTTACGATGCGCTTTTGAAGCCTCAAGATGGCCCCAAAATGGCCCAAGAGAGGCCCAAGAGGCCACCCAGACGGCCCTAAGAGCGCCAAAAAGTTGTCCAAGAGCGACCCAAGAGGGCCCCAAGAGGCGATGTTGATGGCCCCAGGGGGAGAGGGGATGGGAAGGGTGGCGATAATGGGAGCGTTGGGGGATGAAGGGGGGTACGTAGAGGGGAGGGGGGGGGCGGGGATAGGGGGGGTAAACGGGGGGGAGAGGGGAGGGGGGGGGGGGGGTAGAGGGGAGGGGGGGGGCAAACATCTAATACCGCCCCCCCTTTTTGATCGATGGCCTCCAAGATGGCCCCAAGAGGCTCCCAAGGGACCCCCAAGGGACCCCCAAGAGGGCCCCACAACCCCTCAAAAGAGCCTCAAGAAGGTCCCAAGATCCCCCAAAAGAGTCCCAAGAGGGCTCTGTCCTCGTCCTGGTTGTTCTCCTCCTCCTCCTCCTCCTCCTCCTCCTCCTCTTCTTATTCTTCTTATTCTTATTATTCTTATTATTAGTATTATTCTTATTCTTCTTATATTTTTCTTGTTATTAATCTTCTTATTATTCTTCTTATTATTAGTATTCTTATTCTTCTTATTATTAGTATTATGTTTCTTCTTATTATTATTTTTCGTATGATTCGTCTTCTTATTATTCTTATGATTATTCTTATTATTATTAGTATTATTCTTATTCTTCGTATTATTATTATTCTTCTTCTTATTAGTAGTATTAGTATTCATATTCTTATTATTATGATTATTCTTATTCTTATTATGTTTAGTATTATTCGTATTAGTCTTCTTATTAGTATTATTATTCGTATTATTATTATTTGTTTCGTCTTCTTCTTCTTCTTCTTATTCTTCTTATTCTTCTTATTATTATTAGTAGTATTCTTATTATTCTTATCATTAATATTATTCTTCTTCATCTTGTTATTAATATTACTATTCTTATTCTGCTTATTCTGCTTCTTATTATTATTAGTAGTAGTAGTAGTAGTATTATTATTCTTCTTCTTCTCCTCCTCCGCTTCCTCCTCCTCCTCCTCCTCCTCTTCCTCCTCCTCCTTTTCCTCCTGCTCCTCCTCCTCCTCCTCCTCATCATCATCATCATCATCATCATTGTCATCATCATAATCATCATCATCAACAGCATCATCATCATCATCATCATCATCACCATCATCATCATCATCATCATCATCAGCATCATCATCATCATCATCACCACCATCATCATCATCATCATCATCATCATCAGCATCATCAGCATCATCATCATCATCATCATAATGATCATCATCAGCATCATCATCATCATCCTCATCACCATCATTATCATCCTTCCGTCGCCACGCATGCCCCACGGATGGCCCGAAGAGGCCCTCCAAGGCCATGTTTGCTCCCGGAGATTTCTCTGTTCACCCTGGTTGCCCGCTCTGCTTTACTAAATGTGTTTCTTCGTCCGCCCCGACAGTTCTCATGGGCAGAGTAACGGGCTGGTGGGGATATTTTTTTCGTCGCGGCCGCAGGCGAGCGCGCCAGCGGCGTCAAGGGTCGGGCGGGCTACGCGCGAACCTAATTGCCTAACGCGCCGACAAAAAGGCGACCAAAGCAGCACCTAAGCTGACCGGAATGCGCGAGGTGGTGCGGGCTGCAGCTGCCAGGAACCAAGTCCAGGAGCGAGCGCATGCAAAATTAGCCAACCGAGGTTGAAGCGCAGCCAGCAAGGCGCGGGAGCGATACCAGGATGAAGCCAGGGGCACCATCACGAAGGAACGCCGACACCAGCTAGGCCAGGAAGAACTCACTGACCAGGAAACTAGTGCATAGAAGTGGCGCCACCAAAATCGCACACAACAAGACTCCTGAAGGGAGTACTGATCCGAACAGTCGTGGTCAAACCGTGAACAGAGTAAACACGAACGGCATAGCGGAGTCGCCAGGGAAACGATGGATGAGATCAACACCGTAACTGAACCTGAGACAGCGGATCAAAGGAAACCACGCTCATTCCCGAACTAGTTCGTCGACATCTGAGGAGAACTGACCACTAACTGGGCAGGCGCACGCCTCAAGCACGTGGTCGAATGAACACGAAAGTGTCGTGGACACCGCCGCCAGGAACAGTGGAAGTAGTCAACACAGTCGGCCGACGGTCACAAGAGCACAGGCTGGACCACGTGCACTCGGGGGCTCCGTGCGCCAACGAGGAAGTTGGGCATGTGGAGCAGGGGGGGGCAGGAAGCCAGGGCCATCAGGGCTGCTGCGGGCCTGGCTGCCTGAGGAGGGGCGGAAGGAGCGAGGGGCCCCAGGAGGCAGCGATGGCAAGAAGGGCAGTGCAGGGCCACCACCCCGGAATGCACCTTTCCGCCGCGCATGCAGGATTGGGTATCTGCTACTGCATTTGCGGGGCCTTGTAGAAGCGAGCGCAACGCATTCCACAATGCTTGCGCTCCAGATGCGTCCATGACCACCCCCCGCATGATGGGTGCGGGCAGACCGGGTAGCTCCTCTTTGGTTTCGGGCTTCGTCGCGTGCGTGATGCAGTGGACGGCGCCATGGCCGCGCGGCCAGCTGAACGGCGAGCAGTAGCAGCTGCACGCATCGGCGATGGCGGCCGCCAGGATGCCTGGGTGAAGGAACGGCACCCCAATCTGGCCGAGGCCGAGGCCTAATGGAGGGAGCTGTCCTTCCGCCTCAGACTCGAGCCTCCGAAATCAGGGCGGGACAAGCTCCCGTCTTGCGCCAAAATGGCTACGGGGAGGGGAGGAGGAGGAGGAGGAGGAGGAGGAGGAGGAGGAGGAGGAGGAGGAGGAGGAGGAGAGGAGGAGGAGGATGGAGAGGAGGAGGAGGAGGAGGAGCAGGAGGAGGAGGAGGAGGAGGAGGAGGAGGAGGGAGGAGGAGGAGAGGAGGAGGAGGAGGAGGAAGGAGGAGGAGGAGGAGGAGGAGGAGGAGGGGAGGAGGAGGAGGAGGAAGGAGGAGGAAGGAGGAGAGGAGGAGAGGAGGGAGGAGGAGGAGGAGTCCGGAGGAGGAGATGAGGAGAGGAGGAGGAGGAGGAGAGGAGGAGGACGACGACGACGACGAGGGGAGATGCCGAGAAGGAGGTGTGAGGAGAGGGGAGGAGGGGAGGCGGAGGGTGAGGGAGCCGGGGGAGAGGACGAGAAGGAGGTGTGGGGGGGGAATGGGGAGAGAGGATGGAAGGGAGGGCGCCGCCCAGAACCCCTGCGCCCCGCCGTGTACTGGCTGAACTTGAGCACCGCGCGGGAGCCGTAGGGGCGCTGGGACGCGACAATAATGTCCTGGGGGTTCTCGATCGCAACGATGACGCGGGCTGCGACCTCGCCCGGGAGAATGATGGCAGGCAGGCACCATATTTGTCAATCGGCGGCCGTCATCCGCGTCGCCATCATCGCCATCGCCATCAGCATTACCATCACCATCACCATCACCATCATCACCATCACCATCACCATCACCATCCCCATCCCCATCCCCACCACCACCACCACCATCATCAATCATCATCATCATCATCATCATCATCATCATCATCATCATCATCATCATCATCATCATCATCATCATCATCATCATCATCATCATCATCATCATCATCATCATCATCATCATCATCATCATCATCATCATCTGCAGCATCATCACCCACCACCACCACCACCATCAAAATCACTATCAGAATCATCACCATCAGCAACAACCACAACATCATCAGATTCATCATCGTCATCATCATCAGCATCATCACCAGTTCCATATGATTCATTATCCTCATCAGCAGCATCAGTTTCCTCCATCTCGTCATCATCATAATTAGCATCATCAACATCATCAACATCAACATCAGCATCAGCATCAGCAGCAGCATCATGGGGGTAATTGGACCAGTTCATCTGTCCGTGGCATCTCGTCGACCTCTTGCATCATCACCATCGCCATCACCATCATCATCACCATCACCATCATGATCATCAGCATCATTATCCTCACTATGATCGTCGCCGTCGTTGTCGGCATCTTCGTCGCCCCAGTCAAGATCGTCGGCATTACCATAGTCCTCGTCACTGTCGTTATCCACTCCGCCATCGTGATGCCCATTATCATCGTCATCGTCGATATCATCGTCTTCATCGCCGCCGTCTTCGGCGTGGAATCCACGACTGCACGACAGCATCCGCTGCTGGTTTGGGGGGGCGGGGATCGCAGGAAAGGTCCTCACGGTCTGGCAGAGGGAAGACCTGGCGAGGAGAAGGAAGAAGTTGGGCCGAGGAGGAGAAAGGAGGAGGCCAAGGAGGGACGAGGAAAAGGAGCAGGGAGCAGCGATAAACGATTAGGGTGTAGGATGGAGGGGGGAAGGAGGAGGAGGAGGAGGAGGAGGAGGAGGAGGAGGAGGAGGAGGAGGAGGAGGGAGGAGGAGATGAAGGAAGGAGGGGCGAGGAGAGAAGAGGGTGAGTTAATGAGGGGGAGGATGGGGGGAGGAGAGAGAATGGAGAGAGATAAGGTGGGAGGGTGAGGAGGAATGAGGGAAGCGAAAGGAGGAGATGGAGGGACGAGAGAGAAAGGGCGAGGAGGGCGAGAAGGCAGTGGGGGGCAGGGGGAGGAGGGAGGTGACGGCGACGAGGGAGGGAGGAGGATTGGATTGGACACGACGGCCAGTCCACATCTGCAACCATCGCCCAGGCAACGTCCCCTGAATATCTTTTGCTATTTTTGAACTTTCTTCCTGTAGAGGGAGACGCCCGACCTAAAAATTAGCAAAGTGGTCCCCGTGTCCTGGGAAGTGCATCTTACCATCAGTGCAGCTGGCTGGCGCCCACATGAGACCAAACCACTACAGACAATGATGTAATAGCCATGCAGGTGTGGGCGTCGGGATGTCAGCTCTGGCATCCCGGGATGTCCCTTTTGGGGTACCACCGAAAAGCTATTGGAAACCCTTGGGTTGGGGGGGAGATGCGTGCAGTCATCCTCCTGAGAAAGCGGCAGCACCCAGTGTGAGAACAAGGTTGCAGAAAATCTGCCACAGGCACAATTCGGATTCGCTGGGCATCCCGAGCTGGTGATTCCGGTCTCGCTCTGGGTTCAAGGCATAACGTGCACTCCAGCAAACGAAAGGCTGTTCGGCGGCGCGCCGAGGGGAAAGTGAGAGGGGGCAGGCCTTCTCGGAAGGCGGCGGCGATTTTCAGAAGAAAGGCCAGATGCCTCCGGAGCCTTCTGGAAAGGCTGGCCCACTCTGCCGGACCCCCTAAGCGAGCCGCCGAACTATGGCGTGGAAGGCGCCGACATCCGGCAGGAGGAGGAGGAGGAGGAGGACGACGAAGAGGAGGAGGAGAAGGAAGAGGAGGAGGAGAGGAAGGAGGAGGAGAAGGAGAAAAAAAATGGGGACGAGGAGGAAAAGGAGGAGGAGGGGGGGAGGGGAAGGAGGACAAGCTAGGTGCGCTCGCGTCATATATGATGTCCGACCCTTCCCTCCCATCCATTACCGCGGCGTAAATTTCCTCTCTATTCGCACAGCCGCATGTCGGACAAGGAAATGATTCCGAGGGCGTGCGCGATGCATCGTAAAGCACGGCAGAGCAAGGCGTAGAAAAAAGCACGTCAGAGCGTAGTATGTCACAGCATGGCGTGGCGCTGCGTAGTGCCAAATTACATCACAAAGCATTGCAACGCAAAAAATCACATCGCACAGCGGCACATGCCAAAACATGGCATGGCATGGCGTTGAGCATCAAAGCGTAGCAAGGCAGGGCACTGCGTAATCAAACACTGACATTGCACCTGAAAGCATGGCATCGCACAGCGGAACACTATATATAATGGAATTGCATGCCGTGGCACGGCACTGGTAATAAGGACGCCAGCGCTGCAGCGGGATCACAACTCGGAGCGAGCGGACGCACGGAAATGGGACCATCGGTGCAGCTGGAGCACGACTCGGAACGAGCGGAAAAGCGGACATGATGCCAACACTGCAGCGGGAGCACGATTCGGAACGAGCGGACGCGCGGAAATGAAGCCAGTAGCAACATTAAAAAAAACAAACACAAACGAAAACCCAAATCCCCGGAACGGCGCGCGTGAATAACACGACGCGGAAGGGCGCCAGATATTTTCCGGACGTCATCACGGGAGCGGAAAAAATGGTTTTCATATTGTGGAACTGTGGAGGAGGAGGAGGAGGAGGAGGAGGAGGAAAAGGAGGGGGGGGTTGGAGGAAAGGGGGGGAGGGAGGAGGAGGAGGAGGGAGGAGAGAGGAGGAGGAGGAAGGAGGAGGAGGTCGGGAGGAAGAGGAGGAGGAGGAAAATGAGGAGGAAGGAGAGGAGGAGGAGGAAGGAGGAGGAGGAATAGGAGGAGGACTGCATACTTTCCCGACATTTCGGCCGGAAGCAGGCGCCAGCCCATACAACCGGGCGACGTCTTGGCAACAGCAAGAGAGGTCTGAGCAGGTCATGGCTGGATTCGGGCGGACCCCTTTCGGAAGCCGCCGTCGAGAAAGCTTACAGGGCGGTGGCGGTTCACGGAACACCTTGGTGTCGCCTCTGGCTGGAGGGGGGGGCAGGGAGAGGCGGGTTCCCACCTAGAGGGTCAAGCTCTCCTTGCTCGCTTGGCTGCTACCTCGCCAAGGTCCTTGCAATAGAAGGGGGAGGGAGAGGAAGAGGAGGACGAGGAACGGGGGAGCAGGGAGGAGCGCGTCGTCGTCGGCGGCGACGTCGCCGCCTGTGCCGTCGTGCCCTCGGGCTCAGGGGCAGCCGCACGGGGGGCAGGAGGGGAGGGAGGAGGGGGGAGAAAGGAAGGAGGTCGAGGAGGAGACGGAAGAGGACGAGGAGGACGAGGAGAACGACGGCGATGGGGAAGACGAGAAGGAAAAAGGGGAGAGGGGAATGGGAGGAGCAGGGACGAGCGGGCAAGGCGCAAAGGCGGACGAGATCAGGAGAAAACGCATGGAAGGGGCACGGAGAGAAGGGGACGAACACGTCGCGAGGGGAGGGAGTGATAGCGCGATGGAAGGAATAAAAGAACGAAAGAAAGAAACGACTCCGTGGGGGCCAAGTTCGTCCATCAAGAGGAGGATCCACAACGCCCGGGGACGCTGGCCCCAACGCTGCATCGAAAAACTGGCGCACCGCCCGATGCCCTGAGCCCAGGCACGAGTTGCCCGAACCTTGGCCCCAGGACTTGACTGCTCAACCACCCTCTACGCACCATAGTTAAGACGTGCCGGCGCCTTCTTGAAGCATGCCAGCGCGCTGTACCCTCTACTTCCGAAGATAGAAGATGTCGTTCTACTTCGCGGCCCCCTTCATGGGCCCCCCCTCCGTGCCTCGGGACTTGCCCATGGGCCTCAGCACTCTCTGAAATCGCGGCCCCTCGGGGCAGAATGTCTCAAAAACTGGCGGGCGGCGCGCCCCCCGTTGGCACATGTGGCCCCGCTGGCCCCGCGGGAACAAAAAAAAAAAAAAAAAAAAACGCCCACCCCCTCCCACCCCCCACCCCCAATAAAACAAAAAACAAAAGGAACCACAAAAAAAACATGTTAGTGTTTCCACACAACATATATATATATATATATATATATATATATATTATATGTGTGTAGCGCGCTCCTCGTCGGCATCTGCGGAGGCGGTCTCAAAGTCGCTGGGGACCTGAGGGCCCGCGGGAAAGGCGACGCGCTCCACTTTGGCATCTGCGGAGGTCTCGAGGTCGCTGGAGCCCAGGGGGCCAGCGGGGAATATGTCATCGGCCAAACTCCCCTCGAAGCCCCAGGGCCCCCGCGGCCCCCGCAGAATTCCCCTCGGCGAAACTCCCCTCCAACACGCCAGTGACCCCGAGGACTCCAAGGCACATCTCCTCGGCGAAACTCCCCCCCTCGGCGCCGCCGTTTCCCCCGCCGCCCTCTGGGGCCCCATCGGACGATCCCGCGCGCCCCGCTCGGGGCTGCCGGCCAGCTCAGACGCCGACGATCGTTGGCCGCGCATCGCGGCCGTCGGCGAATCACCCCCTGCCGTCGCATGATGCGCGTCAATCTCCGGCTAAGCTGCAGTCGATTCAAGACGGCCCGAAGCGCGCGTCATCGCGGTCTCTATGCGAGGAAAACTTCGAGCCAGTCCTAGATCCCCCTCTCCATGCGCGACGCCTGGGCCCGCCCGCCCTCAAGCCCCGCGCCCCGCTGCCGGGCGGCCCCCGGGACCTCGAGGCGGCGCTCGCCGACGCATGAGGTGGCCCTGCGCTAGCCTGGCCGCGGCCGCGGCCCGGCTCGGCGACGGGAACGACGCCCGAGCGCGCACTGATGTCGCGAGACGCTGCTTGAAGCCCCCGAGCTCGTCGCAGCCGCCCTGCCCGATGCTCTCGCGCCGCGGGGGGGGGCCTCCGGCAGCCCTCCGAAAGATGAACAGCGTGGCGCCCGCCAGCCGTGATCTCTGCCTCCTGTTGCACTATCTGGTCGCACGCCGCGCCTCGCCCCTGCGTCTCCAGCGCTTCGGGCGCGCCCGCGGGCGCCATTTAAACATCGAGCAGCGCGCCCTCGATGCCCCCCGCGGCTCTGGGCGAGTGGGGGGGCCATTTTCGTCGTCGGCGCGCGCGCAGACATGCCGCGGGCGCTGAGGCCCGCGCAGCTGCCGGGCCCGCCGGCCGCCGCCCTCTCTTTCCCGCGCCTGACCCAGCGCGCGAACTCGCCGCCCTCCTCCTCTCCCCCGCCACCGCCGCGCGCGCCCAAGGCCCGCGACGCCCCCAGTCGGGCGGCCGCTCTCTCAGTCGGCAGCTCCGCGCGCTCGAGGTAGAACGAGGGGGATGGGGGGGGCGACGCTTAACGGCGTGATCGTGATAATCGCCTAGGGCACTCAGTTCTGCCGAGCGCGTCAGACGCCTCGACGACTCCGGGAGAACAGGGCCCCAAGAAAAAAGCGCCTACTGAAGCCCGCGCCGGTTCGGAATCCAAGCCGCGCGCACGCGCAAACGGGCGCGGCCCCTCGAGGAGAACGACGCGCGGCGCCAGGGGCAAACGTTCGCCGGGGCCGTCGAATACAGCGGATTGAATTTTCCACGTTCACCTCCCACGGAGCTTGATGGATGAGCTGGAAGGCCCCCCAGGGCTCAAACTGCCGAAGACACGCGTTGCCCCGGGAGTCCTAGAGATCACGCGTGCAGGCGATGGCCCCCTCGCTGGCCTCTGCCTCGCTATCGACCACTCTCGCTGGGCCCCGTAGATGGCTCCGAATGACCCCCCCCCCCCTTCCGCGCGAATGGGCGCCTTCATTATTTTGGGATAACCTGCAGCCGAAGCCACTGGACTTCCCCCGCGGGAAACCGAGCCTTCCAGGAATGCCCATCTCGCCCCCAGGCCTCAAAAAAGTCCGCGGACCACTGGCCCCCGCGAAATTCCAGATGCCCCTCTCTATCTGGAAGGCCAGGGGAGCGCATGTCCAAAGCATCCCCGCAGAATCAAGGGAGGGATGCATGCTGTCCAAGTGTTCACATTTCGCGGAGATCACCTGCCAGCGAGCGACAGCGCCTCTGGCCATCTGCTGCACCCAGCCGGGGCGCCTGGCCGCCAGCTCGATGCGCATTGGGATCAGGCGCACTTATGCGTAGGGGCTGAATTCGCGGCCGAGCGCGGATGCTCTCCTGACCAGTCCGCGGCTCTGCCGCGTTCCAGTGCTCTGCAATACCGCGCGAAGATAGCGCCCAGTTGCTGGGTTCGGGCACGCGGAAAAAAAAGGAAAAGTTCGCCTGCCGACAAAGCCGCTTCCACCACGCGGCCCCTAAAGGCCAAAAGTCTTCAGAGAACTACTGATACGACTGGCCGAGACCCCCCACCTCCCCCCGACCGGCACGGACGGCCGCGCAGCGGCAGCGAAGCCCCCCCCCATGCTCGATAGATCCCAAGCGTATCGGATCCAAAGATATCTAGCTCTAGCTCAAGACGCCCAACAACTAAAATCTTTAGACAATGTACGCTTCACCGGATGGCGGCGAAGACACGGCGCCGTCACCCGTTCGCCATAATTCTGCATAGACCTCTTCTAACCAAAACCTCGTCGAAGATCGAACCGCTATGTTTGAAAATATCGTCGGTCGGCGTCGGCGTCGCGTCGCCCATCGGCATCGTCGGATACGTCGTCGGCATATGCCGTCGTCGCCCCGCGGCGGGTAGACTCGTACATCGCGCAACTCAGACGTAAGTCATCCTCATTCGCAGCTTGGGTCGGGGTCCAGGAACGCCTGGGGCCCTCCGTCACATTGGCGACAACCGCGGGCTCCTCGCTGCACCCCATAAGACCCCCTCGACGGCGTCGCGCAACCAGGATGCGAGGATCGCGCCAAGGATGGCCCCCCATCTTCGAAGGCCATCACCACTCCCGAAGTCCGAGGTCTAGAACGCATCACAGCCGCATCCGAGGGTCTGAAGAGATGGTGGATCGCGTCGGTCCTAGCCCTCGTCGTGGTCGAAGCGAACACGTTCGACTTGCCGTGAAGACTGTTCAGGTGTGTTATTCGATGGATGCGATAGAAGTGCCTCATGAAGCGGCGCACGGCGACCGCGTCCTCGCGTCGCCGCCGGGGTAAGAAACCGTGGAGGTCGGCGGGCCATGTGGCCCGTTCTTCTGCAGATTACATGCCCAGAGGCCCCCGTAGAATCCCTTCCAGTAGGGACACACCACGTTCATCGACCGACCCCCCACGGTACGTACTTTGCCGTTGTATTTCGCTATCGAAAACCCAATGCGGCGTTTCCCCAAATAAGCGCACCTTTCACCCTCCTGCACAATATATGCAGGTCCCCCAAAAGCCTCGCCGATGCCGTGGATGAGGTCTGTGACATCGGGGTGACCCCAAGTCCGAGACGCCCCTGAGGGCCCACCGAATGGCACTTGGGATCCGCCGCCATCAGGTGCAGCCCTGGAGGACGTCGCTTGCGGCTGCGGCGTAGCTGGCGCAGCGTAGACTGGAAGCCCCTCCTACCTGCATCTCGGTCCACTCCTGCTCCACCTCGTCCGTGGGCGCGTGGTGCACGGGCTAGAAACTCAGGAGACACTCGACGTCTAGGTCGGTCGCGCTCATGCCGCCGCATTCGGTCGGTAGGCCCAGTTGCGTCTGCCATTCTGTACGAGTCTCGAAAATCGAAACAAGATCGTATCTGCGCCTCCGTGGCCCACCTTGATTTGCAGCCAAAAAGAGAGGAAGCCGATGTACTGCTGCATGCGCATGGTGCCGGCGTGCCTCTGCAATTTCTGATTCCAATCGTCGCCGAGGACCATGCCAAGCTTCACGCGTCTACTGCCTCAAAGTTTTTCTGATTGGGCGAAGCTCTGAGCTCATCGAATCCACGTCTGCATCCGTCTCCTCATCCTGAGAGAATCTCGTTGGCGAAACACTCCTCGTTGACATATGCGTGGTCCTGCGCTGCCCTGGTCGTACCCTGTCGCATAGTGACGCTGAACGATATCCATCCTTACCCTCTGTCGTGAGATGTGTGAAGTCGGAGCTTGTCGTACTAGTTGGTCCAAGGTGTGTGCCAACATATGCTGGCAATCGATTCAACAGATCCGAATATTGTGTCAACTGCAGCGCGTCAGAAAGATCCGACGAATGTGACAATTGCTGTGCGTCAGAAAATCGAAGTGCTCGTGTCTCGGCAAGCTCTCGCTGGTCGACTCGAACTCGTTTCGCTGTCGTACCAAGTCCAATCCTCGCGCTCTTAGCGCCGAAAAGCCAAAGACAACTCCGTTGGGCTTCTTACCGAAGTGTGCGTTTCCAACCGTGCGTGCTGTGTCCAGCCATCCCTGCCATGCTTGCTTCACCTCACCCCTCTGCATCCTCGAAGTCATGACGGGCTCGTGGCGCGTGGTTCCAGGGCCTCGAGAAGCTCCGGTCGCTCCGGGCCGCGCTGCACGGCCGCTGCGAGACGACTGCGATCCCACTGCTCCCCCTGTGCCGTCGGCTGCTCATATTGATGATGAGGAGGAGGAGGAGGAGGAGGATCGGGACATGGTCTCGAGGATGTTGTGACTGGAGAAACTCCAGGCGCTTCGCGGAATTCCAGAGACCCTTGCAGAACCTGATCTGATCTCGGAGCCCTTCGGGGATGAAGACATGGTCTATCATGGTCTATCGTGCTCGTGTGGCCTGTGTGTCCGAAATATGTTGGGTCCCCCTGTCTATCCGCTGTCACAGCATCATACATATCCATAGGTGCCCAAAAGATCATCCTGGATCAGATTTCCCACCGCATTCTGCTCCTCAGTGTGGTCAGGGCCCGCGAAGGGCCTCTCTTGCCTCCAGCAGTCCGTCGAAGTCGGCGGAGAGTATGTCTCAGATCCCGCTCTGCCCCTGTGAGGCCCATCTGGGAGAGGAGGGAACGGGGGAAGAGAGAGAGAGAGAGAAAGAGAGAGAGAGAGAGAAAAAAAAAAAAAGGGGGAGGTGGAATGCACAGTCATATTATGCTTATATATACATACATACATACATACATACATACATACATACATACATACATACATACCTAGATGCATGCAGGGAGAGAGAGAGAGAGAATAGCAAAAAATGAGAGATTGAGAGAGTGAGAGAGCGAGGAAGAACGATAGAGAGAGGGAGAGAGAAAGAGCGAGAGAGAGACGGCCGAGAAGGAATGAAGCGGAGGCAAGGCCGACCATCAATTTCTCCCAAGTTTTACCGAGGTGGATGATGTGGATGCCGTCCACCTGGCAGCACAGGTAGAAGTCGAGAGACGACGCTAAGAAACGCATAACACAGGAGTGAGAGAGAGCGGAAGGTAAACGAGACGGAGATGCTCACATAGGCGGAGCGCGCTCGTCCTCCTTCTCATCCACCACTTCACCATCAACAATGGCGTCGCCGCAGAAGCCAGCAGGGGGAGTTAGTAGAGGGAGCTAGCAGCTAGTAAGGGAAATCAGCAGGGGGAGTTCGCAAGTGACGGGGCCCCAGGACACACAAATAAATACACACAAATAAAAGATTCCCCATAATTTCCCCATATTGTGGGGTTATTTTTCTTCCCCCGCTTCTCGGGCTGGGCGAAAGGGGGGGATAGCAAAGGGGGAGGGTGAGAATCAGCTCACGTAGCTGATTCTCCCGGCGCCTCCCGGCGCCCGATGCGGCTATGTATCGAGGAATGGGCCCCTCGGTGGGGCCGAAACCAGCTGCATGCAGCAAATTTCGTAACCCCCCCTTTCCCAATCCCCCCCTTTCGCCCGGCCCGAACTTCCCATATTTTTCCACATGTTCCTGGGAGTGGACGATTCATTGTGCCTGTGTGCTTCTTTCCCTCCTGAGCAAAAGGGGGCTCGCGGGGGGGAATCCGGAAGGGCCCGTGCCGCCGGGCACGCGCGGGCACGCTCGCGGGCCCACCGCCTCTCTCATGTCCGCTGCTGCGGGGCACCGCACGAGTCTGCCACGCGCTGCTGCGAGGCGGAATTTCGAACATGTGCCTAGAGCAAACCTGCTGCGAGCCGAGGCTGCTGATTGAAGTTAGGGGCACGAAAAGGTAATTCAAAGAGTATGTGAAGCCATCCCTACTGGGACATGGTGTTCGTGTGCTGCGTGCTGTGAGGCGGGTTTCGAATCTGTGCGCTCGGCTGCGTTGCGCGGACCTCACTCGCTCTGATGTGACTTGCCGGTGCCTCGAATCGATGCGGTGTGCCCTGCTCCACATCGCTGCCGCGTTGCAGCGCAAGGGAATGCAAAATGCAGCGCAGCAGAGCAAGGCAACGCAATGCAAATCAATGCAAATTCAAGGCCAAGCAAGGCTGCGCAGAGCGACGCCAGCAAAAATCAGCCCAAAACGCGTGCGCGGCCATGCAGCTATCGTCGTTGCTCGTCTGATGAACCAAAGATGCGCCGAGGAAGCACCCAGGGAACCGGCCGCCGAGAGCCTTACTGCCGCCAGTTCTTCTCGCAAAACAAATACGCAAGAACCCTTCAGGCGAATGTCAGTCAAAGAGAAAGAAGTTGAACATGGATCTATAACATTCGAGCGCCTAGAGCAAACCTGCTGCCAGCCGAGGCTGCTTATTGAAATTAGGGGCATGTCAAGGTAATTCAAAGAGTATGTGAAGCCATCCCTACTGGGACATGGTGTTCGTGTCCTGCGTGATACGCGCGCGACACTGTGCGCTAACTTCGCAGGGCGCTAATTAGCCTGCATGGCGGTAGATCAAATTCCTGTCCTGCTCCTCATGTCGTTTCCCTTGTGCCCCAGTGGTGTCCCGACGATGCCCCGAGGCCCTCCCCATGGCAAGCGGGCGTAATTATGAAATAACGAAGGGGGGTAGCGCGGAGAGGGTGGAGAAGCAGAAGACTGGAATAAGAATCGTCAAGTCTGGTCGAGCGGCCGTGCGTCCGATGGCGCGTCGGTGGGCGCCACACTGCGGATGCATTCACGTATGTGTTTTTTGTCCACGGCACTGGCACGCATGGGCGTGTCAACAGTTTCACGACTAGACTTCTGGGTGCACGGTTTCCCCCAGGGCCATAGGCGACCCGAGGAGGAGGAGGGGGAGGAGGAGGAGGAGGAGGAAGAGGGGGAGGAGGAGGAGATGGAGGAGGGCGGAGGAGGAGGAGGAGGGCGGAGGAGGGCGGAGGAGGAGGAGGGCGGAGGAGGAGGAGGAGGAGGAGGAGGAGGAGGAGGAGGAGGACGGGTCGCCTACGCCCTTCGGAGAAACCCCCCGCTTCTGGGCCCCAGGATCGCCCAACTCTGGACTTCTGGGTCGTCCGGGGCTGGCCCTGGGCGGGCAAGCCCACGGCCGCCCGGGCGCACCACGGGACGCGCCAGGGCGCTCCCAGGCCCCCGCAGGACCGAGCAGGACGACTGCCCAGAAGACCTGCTGCCGAGAGCCCGTGTTTGGTCGGTTGCAGCGCTGTGGTTCGCAAGCTGCCGGTCGGAGGCTGCTCCGAGGGGCTTCGGACGGGCGGATGACCATCAGAAGAGACCTCGCAGGGGCATTCCAGAGTCCGGAGCTGGGCGTCGAAGGACCCTACGGCTCCACAGTGCGCCCGGAGGATCCGGGCACGGCCAACAGGAGGCCCCCAGGAAGCTCGAACGGATTTCGATATGTCTCAATAGGAGTCCTACCTTGCACAACAAGAGCCCGAGAGCGCCCTGGCGGTTTCCAAGATGCCGCCCGACAGGTTATTACTTGAGAGTCATGAGAGGTTCCCCATGAAGGATCGCTTGAGAGTCATACTCTGTAGTCATAGACGGCTGCAGGAGTCCACTAGAACCCCTATGAGGGTTCCTCAGCTCCCCCGTCCCTCCCTCTTACTCGCTTGCTCCTCACATGTCCCTCTTCATCCTCCCTCCTCTCGTCTTCCTCCTTGCTACCTCCATCCCGCCCGCCTTCTTCGCTCTCCTCCGTCCCTCCTTCCGCCGTCCCCCTCGCCTGGTTGTCTCGGTTGTTCCCTCTTCGCTCTTGACTACCTACCAGACCACCCCAACCCAACCCGAAGACCCGAATTTCGGGTCGAGGGGGGTATCCCACCCAAATGGCTCGAGAAACTTAATACGCATCGGGCATGCTATCTAACCGCAACTCAAGCCACTGCTACTACTGTTTCTGCGACTAATGCTGAGACTACCAAGAGTTCCACCACTTGTTTGACTGCGCCTGTCAGACCCCTAAATTTGAGTAGCAACACAATCACACACTCACTGCGGGCGTACGTGGGTAAGTTGCATCATCAGCTCGGACACAACACTCCTTCCTGAACCATTCCCCAGGGTGTTGGGTCCTGATGCTGTGACCTGGCCTAGCGGCCGTCGTGCGACATGTTCGCCGTACCGCTCAGCCTTGCAACGCGCGCCTGTACGAGAAAATGGCCCAACACAGCCTCCAACATGTTCCAAGATAGGGGTAGGTTGGCCCACTGTGGCATCCAACCTGGCCGCACGAGGCCAGGATGGCTCTGAGGTGGACATCGCAGTTCTAACAATAGACCTCTTGAGCACGAGAGGTCAATATCATTCAAGCATGAAGTGTTATTCAAGTAAATTTGCCAGGGCCATCGCTAAATAAACCCTGCTTGCTGCTGGTCCCGCTACTATTTTGATGTGGGGCCCGTTTGAGGCAAGTTTGCAAAGTGGGACATGTGACACGAACCTGGGGGCCTCTGGGGGCATCGGGTAAGATGGGTGGCGTTTGTGCGTCACATTTCTGTGCGAAGCCAATGCTACAGGCTACAGGTGATTACACAGGATGGCAACATGATAAAGACAACTCCAGACGTTGTTGCTGCATCACGTTGGAGGGGGCCTACACGAGCTCACGGGCAGACGGGCGCATTCACTCTCAATTCACAACACCCGTTCGTTGGCTGTGCCTTGCTATGTCGGAGGTCTGCTTGGGCTGCTGCCTCAGTTCATCGGTGATGCTCCGCTTGCCCTCGCGGCAGATCACCAAGAAATGCGCCGCTGGACGAGCTGGCGCGGAGACGCGAAGCGTGAGGGGTCATACCCTGCACATAGATCCTCCCTTGTCTTCGTCCTCCCCTCGGGGGGTGTCTGACCACCTCATCGATCATGGCCAATCCAGTGCCAGACCCAGCCAGGATCGGTGAGGTAAGTCGTCCGACCCCCACCTCCCCATCCTCCTCGTCGCCGACGCCATCGTGGCCCTCATCCTGAGCGTCGTTGCCGTCGCCCCGCAGGCCGCGGCCGCCGTGCGACGGAAGACGTAGCGCTTCATGCGGTAGTCGCAGTTCCGGGTGCCCAGGTGGGTCTTACAGACCTGTGGGAGCTGATGGCGGGGAGACGGGAGGGGAGGGAAGGATTAGGAGCCAGCGAACGAGCTCGTTCCCCAGAAACTTCCTGGTCCTGCAGTCGGGCGAGCTACCGAGCTGCTCGCGGGCAGCCCAGGAGGCCCGAGGGTACCAGGTGTCATCCTATAGCGCCTCGTACGCTCGCTCCATAAGCGAGAGGGAGCAGCACCAGCCAAACACCCCGCAGGCCCTCGCTGCAGTGGAGGCGGAGCGCTTCGATCAGAGATCTCAGTGTGGGGGGTATGCCACTCGCCTGCTGAGCCGAAGCAGTGCTGAAACCAGATGCTCCACGGAAGCAGGTCCGCGTCGCACTATGCCAGCGCCGCGAACAACACCTTTACAAACAGAACACTCTTGCGCGCCACTTCCCCCCACTTAGGCAGACATTGCCCCCCACACCCCCCAGTCACCCATACCACCTCTCCACTGCACCGCGCGGCCAAACGCGAGCAGCAAGTAAAAGGGCGGCAGCAACAGGCCACGCGTCCAGAGAGAGCAAAGCGCAAACCAGGTGGGCAACGCAAGCGGTAGTGCGACGACATCTCGCAATCCAACCACCGCACCATTGGGGAGGACACAGAACACTGGTTTGACTATGCCTGCGATCAAATACAATGGGGCAGCTTGGAGCATGCCGTCCCCCAGCACATGCAGCGAACGGGCCTCGGCCCCCCCGCGCTGCCCCTAAGGGGACCGCTGGCAGGCCAGCCGGCGGACTCGGCGGGCGCTCCGCTCCGCCCACACGCCCCAGACGATGGTGAGAATGTGTTTGGAGCTGTCCCCGAGCTGCAGCTACAGTTTTGAGTGATAACCCCTCTCTGTCAACCAACACAGGTGATGCAGCGAGACAGTCCTCCGATGCGCCACCGTGCCTCGACGCGCGCAGCAGGGCATCCTCGGGTCAATCCGGGCCGCCTGCGTGCTTCTCGAGTGGCGCGGCCAGGTGCTCCTGGGTTCAAGGTTCTGGGCGCGGCCAGGTGCTCCTGGGTTCAAGGTTCTGGGCGCGGCGCGCGACCTGTAAGTTCCAGGCTCTGGGCGCGGCCAGGCGCTCCTGGGCGATCCTGGCCGCTCTCGAGAGGACTGCCCGCGCGACTTTCTGCCGGACGCCCGCGAGACGGCTGGGAGCGCGGGGCGAGGGAGGGGGAGGGGGAGGGGAGAAGGAGCAGGAGAACCAACGGTAGGACACGTGGGAAAGCACAGCGAGCGCCCAGGCCAGGAAACGGCGCTTCGCAGCGCCCCGACCCAGCCACAGGCAGGGCCAGCATCGCGTGGAGGTCGGCAAAGGCGGAGGAGGACCTGGTCTGGACCGCATGAGCACTCCTGATCAAGCCAGGGCTCGCAGGCTAGACTCGCGCCGAAGGGAAATTCATGCCACTCTTTGGGGGTAGCCCTGGGGCCAACCACAACGGGACACTGGCATCAGCATTTTCGGCGCCAGGAGACGGCATGCCTTCGGAGCGCGCCAAAGCCACGGGGCACACTTCACCGATCGGCTTGGCGGTGTTCACAGCATACCGCCCGCATGCACGGCATGACTAATCCGTACGAAAACCACCAAACATGCGACGAGTGGGCCCTCAACGCAACAGGATGCACTGCAGCACCGTGACGGCCTCCCTGCTGTCTTAACACAGGAAGGCTCACACACTTGTCAGGCCAGAAATTACACACCTCGCCTCGCGTCGCATCGCATCTTCCATGAGCAAATGACCCATCATATGCCCGCAAGGCACGGAGCATGGGCAGCCGCAGCCAGCCTCCGCTTGTGAGCGAAGTCCTAGGGGAGGCCAGGGAGGGAGATCGGAGTGGGGGTCGCCACCCACACGGTCAGCTCAGCTTTCAGGCGCTGGCATGTCAGACTCATTTCGAAGGCGAACGCAAGGACGCGCTGCAGCACGCATGCAGTCATGTCATCGACCTCACCAAAACCTCCACATGGTCGGTCTGAATGTATCCTAAGGCGGCGGCCTCCCAAGCAAAATAGCCAGCACAAACATCACATAAAACTCAACCTCAAAACCTCCCCCCAAGCTTACCCTAGGGGAATACTTGAATGAGCCTTAGTCCACATAACCTCTACGTGCCCATCCCCGGCACGGAGGAGACCCCAAATCCGAACACACAAATCCATCATCGGGGACGTCCTTGACAGATGCGATCGGCCACGTCCAAGGCCTCGAACGCGAAAGAGATGGTCCGAGTAAGCCGTTACAGGGCCCGTGTAAGTCAGCAGAAAGGTATAAAACTCAGTTCGGGGACCCGACTGAGCCCGTGTAGTCAAACTACCAGACAGGATATCATCACACCTGAACTCAAAATCTGGAACACTCGCCTCGTCCAGTCGAACGACAGCCCATGCACGCTGTCGTAAACTTCCCCGCAGAGACACGCAACCCGCACCTTCCCCCGCGCACGACACCGCGCAATTTGACGAGGCAATGGGAAAGGGGCCATAGCAGCGGCAAGGTCAAGAATGCAACGGCTCCAAAAGGTGGATCGCAGGCGCTCATCGCGCAAGGCCGTCTGCACTAATTCCCGAGACCGAAGCACATGGACGGGGTCGATATGTTCATTGCAGAAGCCCCACTCACGGCGTAGAACTGTTTCTGACCCCAACGCCCGGGACAGACTCCGCCCGTGGAATATACGGCGACCCGCCTCTGGACATACCACCCCCACGACGACGCAGCGATGAACAGCAGCACCCGGATTCCCCTCCCTCCCCCCTCCTTGGACCATGATCTCATGCATCCTCCGAAGTAGCGGTTGCCGCGCCGGGTCCCTCGGCGGCTCGCCGACGCCCCCTCGCGTCCAGGCCGCGCGGACGGCCCCGCCCGCCTGTCCGAAAGGCGTCTTGCCCCGAGCTTCTGGCCGGCAGAGAGGGCACGCCAAGCACCCGCCACAGCTAGGGGCCTTTCTTTACCCGCGCGACAAGCGGGGCCCTCGGGATCATCATCATCATCATCATCATCATCATCATCATCATCATCATCATCATCATCATCATCATCATCATCATCATCATCATCATCATCATCATCATCATCTCATCATCATCATCATCATCATCATCATCATCATCATCATCCTCATCATCTCATCATCTCATCATCCTCATCCTCATCCTCATCCTCATCCTCATCCTCCTCCTCCTCCTCATCATCATCATCATCATCATCACCATCATCATCATCATCATCATCGTCATCATCATGATCACCATCACCATCACCATCACCATCACCATCGCCATCACCATCACCATCATCATCATCCTCATCCTCATCCTCATCCTCCTCCTCCTCATCATCATCATCATCATCACCATCACCATCATCATCAGCATCATCATCATCAGCATCATCATCATCATCAGCATCATCATCATCCTCACCTCATCGTCATCATCATCATCATCGCGACCTGCAGAGCAAGATCAGAAGCAGCGCACGCACCAGAATCTCAGCGGCCCGAACGCCGGGCCGCCCGAGGCCGACGCCCTGGACGCCCGCCAAAGCGGGGCCCGTCGCCGAGCGCCTGCAGGATCCCACGGACAGATCTCTAGGCTTGTAGACATGAGTGGCTGTGCCACACAGCCTCGCCAGGTGCGCGAGCCTGCGGGATCGCCTGCAAACCTTGCGGCGTCTTAGCTTCACCAGCCATGGGCATCTCCTCTTGCCAGCACTAGTCGTGACACCCGAACCCTTAACCTTCGACACGGCATCGACCGGCGCATGCCCATCACGGAACGCAGCGCTGAGATCTCGCGCAAGAGCGGCGGAAGAGGCGATTGCCGCCGACTTCGCAGACAACGCATACAGCGGACTTCACGTTCGACCAATCACGCAGCAGCAGCACCCAGCCACGCCGAGAGAACATGCCGACGACTCCCTTGAAAGAACGGAGCAACATCATCGACGCACGAACGAACATTCACAATTGGCAACCTCCGATGAGCACGATCGAGCACGTCGCGCAAGTATGCTTCACCCACGACATCGATTGGACACGCCCCGCCATAATCGAGAGGCCCGCGGACAGAACGTCCGCAATCGTGCCTGCAGCTCAACCAAAGACACGGGTGCACAGAGATGCCAAGCACAGCACATGGGCGAGGTAGTCAACCTCGCGCGCAAGCGGCACCAACAGCGACGGGATGGCCAGTTCTCTGGCCTCCAGTCCCGACGCAGAGCAGCCGACTCGAACCCGATCGACCCCGCCATCCCCCTGGCGCAGCTCGCGGAGAAGAGCGGCCCGCAAGGCCGAGGCCATTGCGCGGCGGCGGCCTGGAAACCAGCGCAGGCCGGACTCCGCGGATCTGCACCATCACCACGCATGCGCGCACGCGCGCGGCGCATCGCAGGACACTTCGAGGCGCCGCATTCGTCGCGAACCGACTTCGGGAGAAGAGCCGCGACGCTCAAAAGCGCAGCTTCGGGAAGGTCATCAACTGCTCGCCCTGATTGAAAATGGCGGCAAGTGGCCGGCGCCAGCGCCTTGCCAGGAATGCCCACCAGGAGTGCCCGAGGGTGCCGCAGATCGACCCAGACAGCCGTGAAGCCGAAAAACGCATAGCAGCCTGCACCACATGCCTCGGGGCACACTCAGAGACCTCCTTAGGGCCAGTTGGGCACGGACCCGAAGCTCACGCATCGCGCCGTCAGGATCTCCAGATGCCCAGGTCGGCTATACGCAAGAGTGACCCTGGGTAGGAGTGACCTTTGGTGCGCGACTTTTGGGGGGCCGCGGGGGGACCAAACCTGGGCGCGCAAGCAGCTGCTACTGCTTCGTTTTCAGCCATCTGGGGACCCATCTGTGCCCGCACCAAAGGTCGCTCCAGCGAAAGGTCACTCTTACGTCTAGCCGACCAGGGGAGGGGGCCTACATCTTTGCCCAAAAGCTCCGCCGATGCTCCGCCATGGCCCCGGGAGGTTTGACAGGCGCCAGCCATCAGGAGCAACATGGCATTCCACATCAACTGCATCTTGAGATTAGGCCAAGCATGCACCTCGCGTCCGCCCCCAGGGAGCGCGTCGCGAAGCCACTCCTTAAGTCCTTCCTTGTCGCCGGCGCGAACCATGCTTTCACGCTCGCGTCTGCAGCGCGATCAATAAGACGCCGAACTGGAGCAGGCGCCAGCGGAAGCGAAGGGGGTCGCCATGCCCGCGGATAGCACGCTCTGGAGACTACAGTGGCAGTAAATAGGGAACACAGGCTGCCGACATAAGACGCAAGAACAGACCGCAGCAGACGAATCTGATCAGACTGCACGCCGCGTCGCTAAGCCCGCCAAAACTCCTAGAGCCTAGAACGCACCAGACCAGCAACAAATAGGGCACCTTGAAAACGAGCAGCGTTACGTTGGCGCGAGCCAGAAGTCTCCAGACTAGACGTCTGCAAATCAAGGGGACGCGACGCCAGCAACCGCGCTTGCGGGCAAGATCGAGGCAAGATGGTCGGAGATGGTCTGGCCCGAACGCCTCGGGAAGCTTCGCCGCGACGACTGCGCCGCACATCTTGGGTCGCTGCCTCAGCGGGCTAAGTCCGACACTGCGCGCGAAATCGACGTCGCTCGGAACAAAGGCCCCTGCGCGGGCCAAGTCCAGAAACCCGCGCTGGCCCAAAAAGACCCCGGCGCATGTTAAAGCCCCCGTGGAACACCCAAAAAGCCGGCCGGCTGCTCGCGAACTCGGAATTCGGATTGAGACAAATCAAGATTTCGCCCACAGCTCTGAGAGGCGCCACAATATCCGCCACCGCGCCGCCGGGCACGGAGTGGGCGCGTTACCGGGTCCACTCTGCTGTCCCGGTTAACTGGTGCTGAACCACAACCACATGGGAGAAGACGACGGACACCTACCCGAATGGGTTCACCACAGGGACTCTGAAGAAGAAGGGAAAGAAAAATCCCCTGCCCATTGGAATCCTTCAGGAATCCCTTCAGAATCTTCAGGAACCCTCAGGAACCCCACGAATCCTCAGGGAACCTAACAACCAGCAACCCCAGCAACCCCCCCGGGGGGGCGTTCGGTCTCATCCCCTGCGCCTCAGTCCTCGATCTCAGGAGCGGCAAAGAGGGGTGTGTCCAAGAGGGGGGGGTGCAAATCATGGCCGGCGGCACGTGCGCGGCCCAGCGGGGGGCCAGGGACGTAATGAAACGAGGAGAGGCGCCATGAAATCTGGGGAGATATCATGGCCCCCGCCATGATATCCACCCCCCCCCTAGTCATCACGCCCCTCTTTACCGCCCCCGACGATCCTGAGGGCTGTCAAGGGGCCCAGGCCGGGCGCCGAAGCCGCCAACCTCCCAGGGCCAGCCGCGCGCCCCATGGGGCCTGGGGCCGTCTCCTCCCGCGACCCGCTCGGGCCCGAAGAGGGCCCGGCGACGGGCCGGGGGGGCTCTCGAGGCGAGGCGAGGCGAGGCGCCGGTCAGTCGTCCCGGCGGGGGGCGGCCCTACGAGAGCCCGGCGGTGGCGCCGGAGCGCCGAGAAAGAACCTTATAGTCGAGGGGGGAAGGGGGGAGGAGGAAGGACCCAGACTGTGAAGTGGGAGTTTCGCACACAATCCCCACAATCGACATAAGCCAGAAATTTCGGCTCCAACGCCGACCATGCTTTCTTGTCCGTCGCAGTGTGGATGGCGCGGCAGGGCCCGGAGTCGCCGAGCGCTCCGAGATGCCCGAGACGACCCCAAGACGGCGCAAGGCCCCCAGGACGGCCGAAGAGGCCTCCAAGAGGCCCCCAAAGAGCGCCCCCAGAAGCCCAAATCAGCGATTGTCAGGGTTGCTGACAGCGGCTGGTCTTCTCGCCCGCTCGACCTCCCGACGCTCCAAGACGGCCCAACACGCCCCGAAGATGGCCCCAGGACGGCCCCAAGACGGCCCAAGAGGGCCCCAATATGGCCCGAGAGGCGCCCAGGAGGGCGCCACGACAGACCCGAGAGGAGGCCCAGATGGGGGGCCCGAACGGACAGATCGAGCCCCTGGCCTCGAGGGGCCCCCAGGATGCCCCAAGAGGCCCCCAAGATGCCCCGAGAGGCCCCTGAGAGGCCCCAAGAAGCCCCCAAGAAGCCCCAGAGAGGCTCCCGGGAAGCTCAAAACTGCACCCGCGAGGCCCCCGAGAGCGCTCCGAAGAGGCCCCGAGAAGCACCCCCGAGAACTCTCACGGTGCTCGGACTCTCTTCAGCGCGAACGGCAGCACGAAACTCCGCCTCGTTGAAGCCGTCCTTGTCCTCCACCGCCTGCTTAACCTCCGCGGAGACGACCTGAGCCACTCCGTCACCTCGGCATGGGCCCGCTCAGCACGTTCAGCCGCCTCGCGACACTTGCATATAAAAGCAAGTGTGCTATCCTTCTTGATCGCCGTCTCGGCCGCCTTCGCCAGAAAAGGTACGCCTGTCCAACTCTGATGCCGTACCGTAGTTGGTGGGCGTGTTTCGACCGACCCCCGCCACGGCGGTCTCGACCACATCCGCCGTTGACTAGAATTTCGTGGCCAGCCCCTGCAACTGCTGAGCCAAAACAGCAAGGTCATCATCATGAGCAGGCTTGAAATCGTGACAGTCACCAGCGCCGTGCGCAGAACCACGATACGCTCCACCGCGATTGCACCCGTTCCCGTGCTTCTCACACTCCCAGCGGCCACAAACCGAGCACACCGAGCACCACTGGCGACGCTGGGCTCGACGCTGGGCGCCTCCGCCTCCGCCGCCGTACTATGGACGTGTCTTGTGCCAGGGCGCCTCGCGGAGCGCCACGACGTGCCAAGAGCTTGTTCCTGCAAGATCTCCCCCAAAACTCTGGACCGATCGCCAGCGCACAGCCTAGCGTCGGTTGTAAGAGTGATGACCGGCTGCCGCGGGTCAGCGGTATCCATGCCCTGCCACGGGCAGAAAAAACATATTGATCCAAAACGGATACGGAGCGGCACACAGGAGGAGGAGGAGGAGGAGGAGGAGGAGGAGGAGGAGGAGGAGGAGGAGGAGGAGGAGGAGGAGGAAGAGCAGCAGCAGCAGCAGCAGCAGCAGCAGGGAGACCGGAAAAGGACGGAAAAAGCAATAACAGCGAGGGAGGGCACGGGAGAGGCCGTGGGCGGCCAAATCAGGCGGCGGCCTTGGCGGCACCCGCCACGGATGCACCCCTGGGAGGACCAGCATCATCTGGATGCCAGGGGGGGGGGGGGGGAATGCGAGATGGAGGAGAAGGAGGAGAGGAAGAAGAGGAGGAACGGGAGAGGGAAGGGACATCCTATGAGAGGATGGGGATGGCCAGTGAGAGGATGGGGCCAGTGCGAGGATGGGGAGGCCCAGCGAGAGGCGCAGGAGCGGGAGGGTCAGCGAGAGGCTGAACTGAACAGCGGCCTGGAGGGCACCAGCATCATCGGGTCGTGAACAGATTCCTCCCTCTCCCCTGTCCCCCCCCCCACACTCCCCCTCTTGCTCCTCTCTCTCTCTCTCTTTCCCACTCCCCGTCCGCCTCCTACTCCTCCGCTTCCGCCCCCGCCTCCACCACCTCCTCCTCCTCCTCCTCATCCTCCTCCTCCTCCTCCTCCTCCTCCCATTCCTCCACTTCCTGCTCACTCCCCCCATCATCCCTCAATTTCGACGGACCTGTCCCGGAGCGCGTTCTCCGAGAGCCCGTTCACAGCGGATCCAGCCGTGGCAACAGGAACCCCCGAGAGCTCCCAGAAATGTTAGAGACGTCAAGTCATATTCACCACCACCACCACCACCACCACCCCCACCACCATCATAAGCAGCAGCAGCAGCAGCATCGGCATAAGCATCAACCTAACCACCGTCAGCAGCATCATAGGCATAATCAGCATCATCATCGTCATCAGCAGCATCATGAGCATCCTAATCATCAGCAGCAGCATCATCACGACCATCATCAGCATAATCAGCATCATCAGCATCCTCATCATCATGATCATCATCAACATCAGCATCAGCAGAAGCATTACCAACAACTACCATAGCAGCAACAGCAATGATAACAACAACAACAACAACAACAACAACAACAACAACAACAACAACAGCAACAACAACAACAGCAGCATCATCATGATCACCATCCGCATCGTCAGCATCCACAACAGCATCATCAGCAGCATCAGCAACCTAGTCACCATCATCATCATCATCATCATCATCATCATCTTCATCATCTGCATCATCATCGTCGTCGACATAATATGCATCGTCATCGTCATCATCAGCATCGCCATCATCAGCATCATCATCGCCATCATCATCATCAGCAACACCAGCATCATCATCGTAATCATCATCCTAATCGTCGTCGTCGCCATCATTATTACCAACGACATCAGCATCGTCATCATCACCATCAGCATCAGCGTCAGCATCATCATCAGCAACATCAGCGTCATCACCATCGGCACCAGCATCGCCATCACCATCACCATCATCATCGTCATCAGCATCAGCATCATCATCATCATCAGCATCATCATCATCAGTATCATCATCATCTTCGTCGTCGATGTCACCATCGTTAGCATCATCAACGTCATCATCAGCAGCAGCCTCATCGTCATCATCATCGTCGTCATCAGCAGCAGCAGCATCAGCATCAGCATCATCATGGTCGTCGTTAGCAGCATCACCATTATTACCAACATAATCATCATCGTCGTCATCATTTGCAACATCAACATAGTCTTCGTCAACTTCGTCATCATCATCAACAGCAGCATCGCCAGCATCACCAGCATAGCATCATATGTATCATCGTCGGTATCAGCATCCGCAGCAACATAATCATCAGCATCGTCATCATCACCGCCATCAACAACAGCAGAATCGACATCATCAGAATCATCAGAATCATCATCATCATCATCTGCATCATCAGCATCATCATCGTCAGCAGCACCAGCAGCATCACCATCCGTATCACCAACATCAACAACATCATCAATACCAACACAATCAGCATCGTCATCATCATAATCATCATCAGCATCAGCAGCAGCATCAGCATCGTCGACATCGTAATCATCACCCTCATCAGCATCGTCAGAATCATCATCACCGTCATCGACATCATGATCACTATCATCATAAACAGCATCGTCATCGTCGTTGTTAGCAGCATGACACTGGAGAAAACCCCAATCATAATCGTTTTAGGGTTATAGGGCTGTGGGGCTATAGGGCTATGGGGAAATGGGGTTATAGGGCTGTGGGGCTATAGGGCTATGGGGCCATCGGGTTGTAGGTGTATAGGGCTATAGGGCTATAGGGCTATAGGGCTATAGGGCTATAGGGCTATAGGGCCATAGCGCTATGTGGCTGTGGGGCTATAGTTCTATGGGGCCATGGGGCTCTGGGGCGATGGGGCTATAGGGCTATAGGGCCATAGGGGCATAGGGCAGTAAGGCTATTGGGCTATTGAGATATAAGGCTATAAAGCCATAGGGCTATAGGGATATTGGGCTATAGACCTATAGGGCTACAGGGCTAAAGGACTGCAGGGCTAATGGGCTATAGGGCTATAGTGCTACTGGGCGATGGGGCTATAGGGCTATAGGGCCATAGGGCTGTAGGGTTATTGGGCTACCAGGCTATCGGGCGATAGGGCGATAGGGCTATAGGGCTACAGGGCAATAAATCTATAGGGCGATGGGGCTATACGGCTATAGGGCCATAGGGCTGTAGGGCTATGGGGCTATAGGGCGATAGGGCTGTAGGGTTATAGGGTATTGGGCTCTAGGGTTGTAGGGCTGTTGGGCTATAGGGCTATAGGGCTATAGGGCTAAAGGGCTATAGGGATATAGGGCTATCAGTCTATAACGATATAGGGCTATGAGGCTATAGAGCCATTGGGCTCCAGGGTTATAGGTATGTTGGGCTATGGGACTATAGGGTTACAGGGCTATCGGGCTATAGGGCTGTAGGGCTATAGGGCTCTAGGGTTCTAGGACTGTAGGGCTATTAAGCTATAAGACTGTAGGGCTACAGCGCTATAAGGCTATTGGGCTATAGGGCTATAGGGCTATAGGGCTATAGCCCTCATCATCATCATCATCATCATCATCATCATCATCATCATCATCATCATCATCATCATCACCATCAGCATCATCATCAGCATCATCATCATCATCACCATCAGCATCATTATCATTCGCACCATCATCAGCATTATCATCATAATCATCGTCGTCATCATAACCATCATCGCCAACACCATCATCATCATTATCAGAATCAGCATCATAATTATCAACAACATCATCAACATCATCGTCATCGTCATCGTCATCATCATCAACATCAGTAGCATCATCATCATCATCAGCATCACCATCACCATCATCATCATCAGAAGCATCAGCATCATCATCATCATCATCATCATCAACAGCATCATCATCATCAGCATCAGCATCAGCATCAGCAACATAATCATCATCATCATCATCATCATCATCATCATCATCATCATCATCATCATCATCATCATCATCATCATCATCATCATCATCATCATCATCATCCGTCTCATTTCCTTCCCCTCTTCCTGCCCCCTCGGACCAGCATCATCTGGATGTCCTCTTCCTTGGTGTGCGCCATGGTCTCCAGCGCTTGACAAACAACTGCTTGTGCCGTCTGGTAAATGTGCGCCCTGCTTGAACCGTGCTGGCTGCGTGCCAACTAGGGCGTTCGGCGGAGCGGGTAGAGGTGTGCACCTCCCGACATACATCCGCCACCCTCTCCTGCCCTGGTGCACCTCATATACTCATTCCTTATCCTTTTTCTCCACCTCCTCCTCCTCCTCCTCCACCTCCTCCTCCTCCTCCTCCGGCTCCCCTTGCCCCCCGCCCCCATCCCTCCGTCCCAACCCCCCTACCCGGCGTCCACAGCATCCTGCCTACATACAACCGACGCCGAAACGCAAGACGCCTGCCACAACCCCAAGCAAAATGCATCATCAGCAGAAGCAAAGGCATCGTCATCAGCCTAGTCATCATCATCATCATCATCATCATCATCATCATCATCATCATCATCATCATCATCATCATCATCATCAGCAGCAGCAGCAGCAGCAGCAGCAGCAGCATCAGCATCGTTATCAGCATCATCAACAGCATCATCAGCATCATCCTCATCAGCATCATCATCGTCATCATCGTCATCGTATGTCTGCTCTCCATTATCGTAAACGTCACCACCACAACCATCAGCATCAGCATCAGCATCATCATCATCATCATCATCATCATCATCATCATCATCATCATCATCATCACCCTGATCCTCATCCTCATCCTCATCGTCGCTATCATCGGCGTCATCATCCTCACCATCACCATCATCATCGTCATCAGCAGCAGCGGTCAACATAATCATCATCACCATCATCACCACTACCATCATCATCACCAGAACCCTCACCGTCACCATCGCCATCGACATCATCACGATCATGATGAGTATCAGCATCATCAGCATGATCGTCGTTTCCACCATCATCATCAACATCAGCAGCATAAGCATCATAATCATCATCATCATCATCATCATCATCATCATCATCATCATCATCGTCATCATCTGCACCACCACCACCACCATCATCATCAGCTCATCATCATCACCATCGTGAGTATCATCGCCATCATCATCATCAACATCATCATCAATATCATCGCCATCATCATCATCATCATCATCATCATCATCATCATCATCATTATCATCCTTAGCATTACCATCATCATTATCAGCAGCATCACCATCATCAGTACCAGCATCATCATCAGCCTCACCATCATCGTCGTCGTCATCATCAGCATACTCATCTCTACCACCACCAGTATCATCATCATCCGCATCATCAACATCGCCACCATCGCGAGCATCGATATAAACGTCACCGCCATCGCCGTTGTCATACACATCGTCATCGTCGTCGTAATAGTCTTGATCGCCGCCATCAACCTACTACAACGCCAACACCTTCATGCTACGCATCGCGCCTCTCTTCCTCTCGATGATTGGGCTGCCGTTACCATTATGGCACTCTCATCATCATCCTCACGTAGAGGGGCTCCAGAGAGGGTAGTAGAAGGACGTAGGCGAGAAGAAGGAGTATGGAGGGGGAGGAAGACGAGGAGACACGAAGGAGGGAGGGCAGACCGGTATCTTGAGTGTAGTCTTCGGTGGCGTTCCCTATGGGGCCACGAATCGTGTGAGGGGTGTGCCGAAATGAGGCGGGGGGGCGCATGTGGACTCTGCCTCTGGGGCCTTCGGTGGACCTCCTCTGGGGCCGCGAAGCGTGCGAGTGGTGCGCCGAAATGGAACGGAGGGACACATGTGGACCCTGCCACTCGGGCCTTAGGTGGAGCTCCCTATGAGGCCACGAAACGAATGAGGGGTGTGCCGAAATGGGGCGGGGGGACGCATGTAGACCCTGCCACTGGGGCCTTCGGTGGAGTTCCCTCCACGAAACGTGTGAGGGGTGTGCCGAAATGGGGCGGGGGCGCATGTGGACCGTGCCACTATGGCCTTCGGTGGAGCTCCACATGGGGGCACGAAACGTGTGAGGGTTGTGCCGAAATGAGGCGAGGGACGCATGTGGACCCTGCCATTGGGGCCTTAGGTTGAGCTCCCGATGGGGACACGAAACGTGCGAGTGGTGTGCCGAAATGCGGCGGCGGGGGCATGTGGACCTTGCCACTGAACCGTCGGTGGAACTCCCAATAGGGGCACGACACATGTGAGGGGTGTGCCGAAATAGGCGTGATGGCGCATGTGGGCCCTGCCTCTGGGGCTTTCGGTTCAGCTCGGCCACGAAACGTGTGAGGGGTGTGCCGAACTGGGGGGGCGCATGTGGACCCTGCCATTGGGGCCTTAGGTTGAGCTCCCTATGGGGCCACAAAGCGTGCGAGGGGTATGCCCAAATGGGGCGGGGGGACGCATGTGGACCCTGCCAATGGGCCTTTGGTGGAGCTCCCGATGGGGCCACGAAGCGTGTGAGGGGTGTGCCGATATGGTGCGGGGGACCGCATGTGGACCTGGCCACGGGGGTGTGCGGAGACAGAAGCAAAGATGGGAGGCGGGAGGGGGAGGCGGGATGGGAGACGCGAGGCACTGTCAGCTCAAAACGAGGACTCAGCCCCCCAAGATGGTCGGGGGAACCATCAGGAAAAGAAAAACAACGTCAAAAAGGCGGCATCGGAAAAGGCACGAATGAGCTGTCGCTAAATGTTATGTGCTACCTTGCTGCCCTTCCGCCTGCATGCCAAATATCAAGGAACAAGGTGCATGGCGCGAAGCGCCAATGCAGTCTTACATGTGGGTGTATATATATATATAACTGTATATAGTGTATAACCGCTGGTTGGGCCATAGGGGGGGCGTGCGGATATCACCCTCAGATTGCTAGCACTATCAGAGGCACCTCACTCACCAGACGGAGAGAGTGGAGCAGCAGCAGGAGCAAAAGCGGCTCTAGCCGCTGGTGTAACCTGTTGGGAATATCGGGTGAGTTTTAGTCCTCGTCGTGATCGCACCAACATGGAGCCTTGCAGACAAGAGGGACAAAGTTTAGATGCGAGCCAATGGAAACAGTTGCAACAGTCTGGCGTCTCCGCGTCAAGCGTTCTCAAGGGCCAATTCGGGCATCTGGCGAGGGGCTCGGAAAGGCTCGAGCGCAGGCGCCCGTCGATGCCCCTGGGCCGTGTCAAGAGCACGCCCGTTGATACCCGCGAGGAGGGACCAGGGGAAACCCTGGATGCGTCAACGATGCTGTAACACACCCTCCCGTCCCGAGTCCCCTTCTCATAAGTTATTGCGTCCCCTTGCAAGACGAGCCCCGAGAGCCTGCCATGCAGGCGAGAGCCCCGTTTAAAAACAGGAGCGGCCCTCAATCCATCGATCTCCATGGAATGCCAAGAGGTAGGGTCCCAGAATCCAAAATTGTATGCGTTTATCGTTTTTTGCTCTTGCAGCTAAGCGAAGCAGGAGGGAGAATCCGCTGCTCCTCAAGGGGACTATCCCGCACCACGGACAAGGAAGACGACGCACCAGGATAATGCATAAACATCGCCGAAAACGTGCAGTGGCCCTGCTCAACAGGCTGTCCTGCGAACGTGGCTGGAACACCGCCGATCGAAGTCGACCGCGGAGCGAGGAGACAAAAAACCTGCAATAACCCCGGACTCGGGTAGAGGGGGAAGGAGGAGGGGGGAAGAGACGACAAGAGTTAATTAAGTCGGGCATGTCCCTCCACAGGAGGAGTATTCAGAAATAGTTGTTTTTTAATCGTCTAGGGACGATGTTCCGACTTTTTTGAATATGTTTTATTTGTCGTCAAAAATCCGCCTGTAGGAGGACATGCCCGACCAAAAACAAGAGCAAGAGGCGAACTAGAGACCAGGAGGCGCAGCAGCTCGGGTACCGAGGGCGTGCCAGCGCATCCTGGAGAAGATCCATCGCACCACTTCGGAGTGAAACTGCCCGCATCTGCTGGCAAATGGCACAGCCTACATAACCCTGCCTGCTATCAAGCCGGAGGAGGGGAGGGGGGGAGGAGGGAGGAGGCCAGGGCGTAAAACTGCGAGCGCCATCGCAAACAGGCACTCCGAACGTGGTACCCGCACTCACAAGACGAGGCAGTGAACTGGGCAACGCACAATCCAAGCAAGTGTCCAACGAGAGACCAGTCTTGACAAAAAATTCCACCAAAGAAAAACCCCAATCAAAGGATGGTTTACGCAGAGGAGATCGACCGGGAACCTGGGAGCCCGGGAACCCAAAACCCACCGAATTCGGCCCGGAACCAATAACTGGGAACCCGGGAATCTGGAACCGGGAACCCGGGAACCCAGCCTGCTACCTAAATTGGCGGGAAACTCAAATCTTTCAACTTCCTCTAGGACCCCTTCAGTGCAAGCACTGATTGGGGAACAACCGACACTTTTCCTGTATTGAAACACGATGAAGAGAAAGCTTCATGTTTGGCGATAACTGGGGTAATCTGGTGGAGAAGGGTGAAAGTCGCCTGGCCTGACCTTTTCGCTATGCGCAGCTCCGCATGCGTCTCTGCACACCACCAGCTTGCGTGCATTCGCGCGCGGGCGCGCGCGCACCACGACCATAGATGCGTGTCGTGGAGGTCACAGACCACCAGCGAGGAAAGCTGGACCCTGACAACACCGTAACACGTTGCGGCACCATGGTGTGCACCAAAGCCTGCAATACACAGCCAATGCCACAGTAGCCTGCGAGCGCCACGCTATGCCTGCCAGCACCATGAACGTGCGCACGCTCAACCACAATAGTTGGAAACCGCCACAACGTGTTCGAGAGCGCAACAGAGCGCCTGCGATCACCAGACCGCGAGGGAAGTGGGACCCTGCCAGCACCACAGCAGTTTGCGAACAGCACACGCACAACGGCATACTGGACCCTGCGTATCTTACAATTGCCTGCGAACGCCACACTGTGCCTGCGAGCACCAACAATGCGCTTGTGAGCCTCGCGATCGCCTGCAAGCACCACAGCATGATTAATAGCAACACAGTGTGCTTGTGACCTCGAAGCGGCGAGGGAAGGCGAACCCTGTGAGACTCTATTACGCTTATGCTCAAAAATATGCCAGACCGTGCCAGTACCACAATAGCCTGAAAGCGCCACAGTACGCAACACGCCTGTAACTACCACATTAACTTGCAAGCACCGCAACGTGCTCGAGAACACCACAGTGTGCCTGCGACATACAGGTGGCAAGGCAAGCTGTACCCTGCCAGCCCAGCGCCGGAGTGGTCTGTGAGCGCCACGTGTGTGCACATCAGTGCTCCAGACCCTGCCCATCCCACGATAGCTTGTAAGCACCCCAGAGCGCCAGCAATGCGCCTGCGAGAACCACAAGGGACTGCGACCACCATGCCGTGCTTGAGAGCACCACAATGTACTTGCGGCCACCAGGCGGCACGAGCAGGAGTAGGAGAAGGAAGGGAAGAAGCAACAACAAAAGCGCCAGGCTATACAATTCCTTGGGCCCGCAAATGCAGGACGGGCGGGGCATGCGGGACTATAAAAACCCACTCTTCAAAGTGGCTGCCGCGGCTTCCCGTGCCTCCAACCCATTTCGGGGGTCGTGCAGAAGACAAGTCCGAGGGAAACCGATTGGAACGGGAAGCACTGGTCCGTCCACCAGGAGCGCACCTGTAATTGCTTGCAAAGTACTATTCTCCAGTCCTGTGCTGAAGGTGTTCCGATCCGCCAGGAAGCTCGGAGTTCGAAGTGACTAGCTGCGTACCAGTACCCACACAGGCCGTCGCTGCCGCACTCCTTGCGACCACCACCACCGCCTATGAACACCGCAGCGCTCGCGAGCGCCTCGGGGGCGCGGGCGCGCAGCGCCTGCAAGCGCTGCCACGCCTACGACAACCGCCGTTCGCGCGATCCCGCCACAACGCGCGCAAGCACCTCGGCCCGGCCTCCAGGCGCCAGGCAGCGCATCGAGTGCGTGGTGAACACCGCAGATCCCTGTGAGCGCCACCACGAGCCAGGCCTGGCTCGCCCCCCCCCCCTGTGCCCTCCTGGAGCTGCAAGAACGACAAGGTCCGGTCAGTGATTTACAGAAGAGAGGCGGGGGCGGGCCCGATCATCCGGTTTGTATCTGTGGACCCCTTACAAAAAAGCTCTCTCGACATGTCAGGGGGGAGGCAATGCTTGATGTGGAGCCGCCCTCCATCCGTGTAGCTGGTGGGAACGTTTGAGACAGGTGTGCGAGGCACCAAAGCAAGAGCCGCACTTAGCAAACGGCCAGCCCTCTATGCGCGCAGCTGCTGGAACATACCAGAACGAACGTACACAGCGCTGGAGCCACAGCCACATCGTGACGGCCACTCGCCGTCAGCACAGAACTCTTGGGCCGAGGTCACGAGGACTGAGATCCTCCTGAGAACTGTTGGGCCAAGGTCCTGAGGACCTTTGAGCCTTTGAACAAGGACCGGGGAGACGTAAGCCTCGGGACGTAAGCCTCGAGACGTCAGCGGTCCAGTCCCCGCTCGCGCAGCGGTCGCGGTCCAGCCCCCGTCCCAGTCACCGCTCGCGCAGCGGTCCAGCTTGATGATCGCAGACGGCTAAGAAGCGCCAGGCTGAGCGACCAGCCCGCCTCGACAGCACGCACGTGCTGCAGGCGGAGGGTGGGCACGGCCAGAGGAGGAGGAGGAGGCGAGGGGGAGGCAGGAGAGGGGAAGAGGGCGGAGGACGAGGAGGGGGGAGGAGGGGGATGGGGCGAGGGAGGAGAGAGGGCCCTCCCCCTTCTCCCCCTCCTCAAGCGTCCTCCACGCCCGACGACGATGGCGACGGCGACGACGACCATTACGGTGAGGTCGGGCGTGTCCCCCTACAGGCGGATTTCGGGCGAAGAAATTACAAACACCCCCAAAGAATTAGAAAAACAAATCCCTGGACTATCTGTTGACTATGATTGAAGATTCCTCCTGTGGAGGGACATGCCCGACTTAAAACTACGGCGGCGGCGGCGGCGACGGCGACGGCGGCCACGGCGCGGGACGCGGCGGCGCGGGACGCGGCGGCGAGCCTCCCCCCCCACGGGCGCGGCCGAACCGACCCCTGGCAGGCCATCCCCTCCCATGACGCTACGATCGCCTTTCGAGCTCCCCTCCGGCCGTGTGCATGCGAGGCGGAGATCTATCCGTATTCACCGCCTGGGAACCGACGTCCTGGTGCCCCAGCGGGCAGCGGGCATTGGATATGGATATGGATATATTTTGGCTCCCGGGGGCCCGAATATGTACATATATATAGCCATATCCATATCCATATGCATATCCATATATATATATATCCATATCCATATCCATATCCATATCCATATCCATATCCATATCCATATCCATACCCATTCCCATATCCATATCCAAGATGTCCATGTCCATATCCATATCCAGATCCAGATCCATATCCACCGCCGGCCGAGATCCCCGAAAATTGATCCTCCAGGCGGTGGTCATGTACAGACTCCCGCCCCGGAATACAGACGTCTTGGGGCGGGGCGAGGGGGGGACGCCGCGGAAGCGGATGGCTCGATGGGGGTCGGTTTGGCCGCCCCGCAGTCCCCCCGTCCTTCGCCGACAACGCTGGCGACAGGTCGCGCCCGACGGCCAGCGTGCCGTCGAGGCCTGGCCGTCGTCGCCGGGGGGCGGGGGCAGCGGAGCGGAGCGGGGCGTGGCAGTGGACGCCAGGGGCGGGGCCTGGCCCTCAGCGCTTGGCGTCGTGCTGTAATTGGAGTCGGCGTGAAGATGTTAAGGGGGTGGGAAGGATGCTCGTGATCCGGCCTCGGTGTCCGAGAGCCTCGGTTGCACCCTTCCGCCAGTTGGGTGTCCCAAAACCGTGTGGTGACAGACCCGGCGGTGACCTCGAAATCCGCAAAGACCTCACCGCACGGTCCGTCACCACACGGTTTTGGGACCCTGGAGGCTCCAGTCGCCCGAGACATCCTCGGAGAACGACCCAAGTCCCAAAACCGTGCGGTGACCCCGAATCCCCACCGACTCACCACACGGTGTGGTCACCACCCCGTTTGGGAGCCCCCGAGCCAGTGTGCATGTCGTGCTTGACACCGAAGGCAAGAGATCGAGAGCTGGAAGGCTGGAGTCGGGAGGTGCGGGGTGGAAGTCGGAGTGCGGGAGCTGGGCGTCGCAGGGTGGGGGCCAGAAGCTGGACGGATGAGGCTCTGAGGTCGACTGCTGCTGGTTGAGGCGGGCGTCGGAGGTCGACAGCTGGCGACTGGGAGTCGGCAGGTGAAGGTGCAGTCAGAGTGCGGGGGGGGAGAGGAGGAGGAGGAGGAGGAGGAGGAGGAGGAGGAGGAGGAGGTAGGAGGAGGAGGAGGAGGAGGAGGAGGAGGAGGAGGAGGAGGAGGGGGGAGGAGGAGGAGGAGGAGGAGGAGGAGGAGGAGGAGGAGGAGGAGGGGAGGAGGAGGAGGAGGAGGAGGAGGAGGAGGAGGAGGAGGAGGAGGAAGGAGGAGGGAGACGGAGCGAAAACCCAATATCGGTCCTGACGTTCCCAAAAGCACCCCAAGAGTTCCCGATGAGGGCGTCAAGGGGCGATTTGTCTTGCCCCGACGGGGGTGTGCGGGAGGGCCCCAGAAAGCGCCGCAAGGGGGTACCAAAAGCTTCCAAAAATTCCCGATGAGGGCGTCAAGGGGCGATTTGTCTTGCCCCGACGGGGGTGTGCGGGAGGGCCCCAGAAAGCGCCGCAAGGGGGTACCAAAAGCTTCCAAAAATTGATCCAATAGAGCCGAAGATGGCTCCAAAGGCCTCAAAGAGGCCCCAAGATATCTGTAAGTCCCACCAGCCCTCTGGGCGGATGTGGCTTACCCCATTCTGCCCCTTCGGGCAACCCCTCCGCGTACCCAACTCCGGAGACCACCCCGGCCTGGCCAAGCCTCCTGGGGGCCTCTTGCGAAGCATCTGGGGAGCCAGATCGAACGATCCGCAAGGCATCTTTATGGTTGTTAGCTCTTGGGTCTGCTCGGGCTCACCCCAGGCCTGGTCTTGACGGGCTGCTTCCCTTTTTGCCCACACTGCGTGCTCCCACCACTTCCCTGATGAGTACAGCTGATCCTATGGGCTGGAGTCGTTCGGAAGGAGTGCGTAGCAGCATGAAGCAGGCAGGCGTTAAAGGTATATTGGATTGCCGCCCGTCCCCCGAAGTGAAAGAAGAATGAACATCTGACCGGGGCTTGAAACAGGAATGCGCCTAAAGTATATTCGAACCTGGGAAAAAAACAATACATGTTTTCAACGAGCGATGAGAACGCGAACAGGCATTGGCAAGCGCTGGCCTCCTTGCCTCTCTGCTTGACCACATGCTTCTCTGCTCCCCCTCTCCCGACAGCTCGCATGGGCATCGTTTCTGGATGGACCCGCGGTGACACACGAAACGTCAATCGGGAGCGGCCAAGAGGGGGGTGTCCAA